TTTCAGGTTTTAGGCACAATCCATTGTTTTTAATGTTTTTTATAACTTGTTTAACATCATCAAAAGGGAGATTATTATTTCTATTAATAGTAGAAAAAATAAGGCGCAAGAATTTGTGAAACTTCGTAGATTTTTTTATTTCGAACCACACTGGAGCATAAACCTAAATAATATAATATGCGAGCTTTTTTAAAAAAACGGTTGCTTGATTGTCTCTAGTATACAAACAAAGAAGGCGAATAGCTAGAGTTAACCACCTTGCATGGTTTAGCAGTCTAATTTTATAGGCAGCCCATTTATCAGAAATTTTTTCAAAGCCTATTTCTTTTCAATATTCAAATAAAAGTCTTTGATCGCAACTAAGGTCTATTAGTATTTCTTCTGGAATATATCCATCTACAATTGGGTTTTCAATTTGTTAAACAAAACTTGATTTTTATCCTGAATATTTTCAGCACATCTTTTGCCAAGTAGAACACTGAAGCTTCTTGGCCAGTTGTGTCACCATCAAGCCCTATAAAAAGAGCTCAAAACAGAAGTTCATTTTAATGTAAGGCACATCCAATAAGATGTAGTTTTCTTTTTAAAAACTCTTCTAGTTTTACCACTAAGCCACTTATTGGTCCAATATTGGCTTGTATACTTACCTAACTGTTATGTTCTTGTATAACACTGGGCGTTTCAGTAGCAAGAACTAAGCCGTAGCACCAGTGACAGGAATCGTCCTATGAGTGAAATAATTTCCACTCAATTTTCCATCTTCATAAGAAATGTGAGGTGATGTTCAAGTTCAATGTTTCAGGTTTTCTTTAGTACTTCTCTTTTAGGTTTTATTATTTTACTTGTTTTAGTTATCTGATTGAGCTTGCTATCAACCCTATAACCTAAGACAAACTAACTGTTTTTTTGTTCACATCTTCACTAACATAACATAAAATTTTTACTTTTGACTTGGCTCTATCTAATTTGAATTTGTCAATCAAAATATCTTTTATATCAACATCATTTTTCAAGAGATGTTTAATGTCATGTAGTAAAGCATTTGCAAAAGCTGCACCTACGTTTGGTGAACACTCGTTTCTGTCTAGTTCTATTGCAAATCTTGGGAGTTTAACCAAGTTATTTTTTCCAATAGGATTATTTATTAGTTTCCATTCACCTTCATCCTTAAAAAAGTTAACAAAATAAAATGCTTTCTGTTTCATCTATTACAAATATTTCATGTATTTATAAAATATTTACCTCCGTATTAGATAAGCCAAATTTTTCTTCAATTAATTTTAAGTGTATGAGGGATTCATCTTCATCAACTAGCTTATAAGATATTTTTTTCGTTCTTTATCAAGTCATTGAATCCTCTTGGCAGATAATCTATCAAGGGAAGAAAGCTCTTTTTGGAGCAATTTTTTCCCTCTGGTCATAATTATAAGCTCTGTCTTCAAGAGTTTATTACTTTGAGAGCAAAGGCATACAATATGTTCTTCGATGCAATTTTCTTTATTACATGATACTTTTCTGTCACTACAGGGAAACACATCTAATGAACAGGAACACGAAGAAATATCAAAAAGTTTGTCCAAGTTTGCATCAAGAATTCTTTTAGCGCTTGCTTTTCCATTCTGCGATTAATATCCTCAACAAGTATGGGAAGGTCTTTAACTTTCCAATTAATAGATTTGTCTGTTATAAGAGGTAAACTTGGGTTTACTGTAGCCCAAATTGATTTTATATTATTGCTAATTTGCTGTCACTAATATGATATCTGCATTTGGATTTATATGAATAAGATAGTAATAGTACTGAATAACCTGTCTAAAAGTGCTTGGATCTGTCATTGATAAATCACATGGGCCACCACAATATTTTTTTTCGCTTTTTATCCTTGTAAATGTAGCCTTAATTTTCGGCATTTTCTTAGACTAATAATGTATGTAAACTGTATTAAAGTATAACGCTTAGAGTCATGGGCCATGGCATGACTTTTTAGTGGGGGCCAAAAAGCCCTAAAATATCAAAAGTTATTATTAAAAACCTGCTTTGTAAAAAAAAATTATCTCTTTTGAAGAAGTTTTTTCAAAATTCCCCTCAGGAATTTAGTAAAACCATTAGTTCCTCTGACTAAATAAAGTAAAACCGTTAGTTCCTTCGAAAAGTTTTATATTTTAATCTACTTCAGAAGTTGCAAAACGATGCTTAGGTAACATTAAACAGGTGAAAACATTACTCTAAATATAATAATCATAACCTTTGATATTAAATGATTTCTTTAAACTGCAATTTTATTTTTGAACCAAATTTCTGAATACTTTATATTTAATTTTAAAACCAACTTTTAAATACAAACAAGAACTTTTAAATGCAAAAAAGATTTACAAAATTTAAATTTAAATGCGTGTAAACAAGTTAACGAAAATTTATTGGCTTCTTAAAGGGATCCCTAAGTGCTTCTAACATATGATCTCATATGAAAGAGCAAAATAAAAAAACTTGTAAGTTTTTTTTCTTTTTCACTAAATTGTAATAATAAATGCATGCTAACAAAAAGCAATTGCCAAAATCACTGGAAAACAACTCCATTTTGATTTTATTTTTTTACCATTGAAACTTGATTGTTAGTCGTTAAAAATCACGTTAGTATGTCACAACAACTTAAGAACATCTACTTCGATTTTCAAGTAAAAAAAAGTCGTGATTAAATAGTTAAGTTTTAATCAAGTTTTTTTAATTAGTTTTAATCAAGTTTTTTTAATTAGTTTTGCAAAAACAGTATAATAGAATTCGGTTGAAAGGCGTCGTTAAAAAAAGTTATTAAGTAATAGTTTTAAATAGTTTAGAACTTTTAAAAAAGTCTTACAGGGCTCGTATTAAGCATATCGCACTTCCGCGATTAGGTTTTTCTTTAAAAAAATATTTTCGCGATTTTTTTTTTTTTTTTTTTTTTTGGTTGTTTAATTACTTTTTTTCTAGCTTAGCATTTTTTTTAGCAATTCTTAAAAGTAATGTTTTCATCATAAAGAACGCCACACTAAATTTATTATTCTGAATAGATAGATGAATAGACGATTTGCTCTTTCGCGCAGGGAGATTTTCTTTCAACGTAAAATATTTTTGAATTACTTTAAATCTCAACGTGGAAAATTTTTAAAAGGTCGTTTAAGCGAAAAGTTGAAAAGGGAAAAGACGTTTCAAGTTTTTTCTTCATTCTAACAATTATTAGCATTTTTATACTGTTTGAAAAAAAAAACTAATAAAAAAGAATTTATTATTATTATTATTAATTCTAATAATTATTAATTAATATATTTTTAGTTAATTCTTTTTTATTAGATTTTTTTTTCAAACAGTATAAAAATGCTAATAAAAACCAGCAATTTTTTTACTTTAATGTTTTTTAACCTTATTTTAAACATGAAGTATAATTCGATTTATTTAAACCAAATTTTTTTGTTTCACTTTTTATTGGAAAACAATTAAAATAGAGAAATTGAATAAAAACATCAATTTAAAAACTATTTAAATGAAAAACTTAATTATATTTAAACTTTTATTAGTCCTTTTATTTTTTATTAAGTTTTTGACGATGTTTTTTGATTTATCGACGATAATTTTTTAATTTATTAATTCAAACAATTTCATTTATTTGCTTCGTTTCATTTTAAATGCATTTTATGTTATTAAACTGTATAAACTGTTTTACATTAACACAAGCTTTTTATATTTTAAAGACAACTTTTTGTTTTACTGTTGTTTTATAGCTTTTTATAATAACAATTAAATACTCATTAAAAAACGCGTGTTTTATCGTCAGCGTGATGGTATTAAACAGTTTTAATGCGATCGTATTAAATACGTATGATCGTATTAAACAGTTTTCAAATATGAATAATTAAAGTGGTTATCAAATATGACTAATTAAAGTGGTTTAAATAATGCAGTGACGGATCCAGGAATTTTTGGTGGAGGATGTTAAAATATTTTTGAATTTTGTACCATGTTTGCGTCTCCTAAAAAAAAGCAAAAAACAGCATCCTCAATTACTATGATATTTTCAAGACTTTCAGATTCTGGTGGGGGAGGGGAGGGATGCATACCCCCATCCTCTACCTGGATCACATAAAAAAACGACTTTACTTTTGAATTTAGTTACCAACTGATACGTTTGCAATAATGACATTTTGTCTACTTTGTTTAATTTGAAGTACAAATGTTAGTTTTTTTGAGGCAATAGAGTCAATAAACTTTGGACAAGACGCATTTTTTTAATTGAAAATAAGCGTTTTTTTGAAAATTAAATTTGTTAGTGTGTGTTTATTATTACGTTTTAGAAAAAATAATATACATCCAACATTTTTTTTTTTAATGCTCTTTCATATGAGATCATATCTTTATAGCACTTAGGGATCCCTTTAAAACAATTGCGCTTTTTAAAAAATCGTTTATGGGTTACTTTATAAATTCAAAACAAGATAATTTATAACAAGATTACTAAACTTAAAATAAAATATTTCAACATATAACAAAACTAGTCCAAAATTAAGATTTGAAATGTAAATCCGCAAGCCTTTTTTAAACCAAGATCCTTGAGATTTGGCAAAACCTCATTTCTAACGTAGACTAAAAATTAGAGGCATTTTTTATGTTAGTTCACCTCCCCAAGGCCGTGAAGGCCACTACAGACAAGGAGGCTACCTGTGGTTATAATTCTCTCTCAACTCTATAATTCTGGAACACGAACCTTGAGGAACAAGGCCGCTGCGCTGAGAAAAAAGTTGAGTGCGGTACTACCAGGGACGTAGTGGGGATCAAACTTAATGCCTCTTGCTTATCAAGCAAGCGTTCTACCACTATATATATATATACATATATATGTATATATATATATTTATTTTAATTTTATATTGATATTTGTAACTAAAACAAAAGTTTATGTGATTATTATAATTTTTATGTGATTATTTAGTTGTATTTAACTGAAATTTTATATTTAAATTTATCATTAGACCGAAGACCAACCTCCTAACCAATCCACACCTGTTGTAACAGCACCATCTAGACCTTCGGTAAATTTTTAATTTATTGTAGAAACTGTTCATTTAAAATAATTCTTTTGCTATTTTTAAAACATATATATAAATATATGCATACATATATGTGTATGTATATATAAATATATATATATATATATATATATATATATATATATATATATATATATATATACACACACACACAACACAACACAACACACACACACACACACATATATATACATACATACAGGGTGTTAACCAGGAATAAATTTGATACAGTGTTGACAAAATTAGGAATTTGTCAAAATATTTCCTAATCACCCCCCTCCCAACCTCCTCTGAAATTAGAATGAGTTCCAGGAATGCATAGGTTCTTTTTCTTATATTCTTTCTTTTTCTACTTTGCTTCAGTACTGCGTACATAGATTGGACAGTGCTAAAAATAAAATACCATTAGCATTAATTGAATATGAATATGAAATCAATACAAAATTAAATGTGGTTTCACAAGGACACGGCAAATTAAGCTTGGATTTCCAAAGATATAATAAGAGTTATATATTTTAAAATTATTTTAATCAGTATATTTTAATTAATTGTTATTAAGAATGATTTATTTTTAATCTTAATATATCATTGTCACTTTCATTTTAAGAGAATATCTCTTTGATATATATTTTTTCACTGGTTCAATGAAAATCTTGGCATAAGAGAGCCAATGATCTTCTACTTCTAATTATTATTTAAATTCTGCTTGACGTCTTTTATGGATGAACCCTTACACCATCATGTAATAAATTGTGTCATCAAAAGATTGCAACAGTGTGCAATCGCAAGCATTTGCACACTTTTGTGGCAACGAAAAATACCAATAATTATTTTTTCATTCATTTTCGTAAAATGTTTTTATGACATTAGCTCATTCAAACATTTAAATTTGTTTTTAAATGTTTGAATTAACCTTTTTTTTTTTCATTTAAATTTTTTTTAAATTCAAGCAAGCAGTAAAATAAAAAAATCTATTTTTCTTGTTAAATAAATTTCTAGTACCAGTTTTTTATAATCATAAAACATATTTTGTGTATAACTTTATTATTTTTTTTTTTATTTTAATTCACCTCCTCAAGGCCGAGAAGGCCACTACAGACGAGGAGGCTACTTATTTGTGGTTATAACCCTCTCTCAACTCTATAACTCCGAAACACGAACCTTGACGAGCAAGGCCGCTGCGCGGAGAAACGAGTTGAGCGCAGTACTAACAGGGACATGGTGGGGATCGAACTCGGGACCACTCGTTTATGAAGCGAGCGCTCTACCACTACACCACTACCGCATTTATATTTCAGTTATATATACCGCATTTATATTATAAACTTATATTTCAGAGGTGGTCTTTTTAAAAAGTTAGTCAAGAAATGAGACTGAGATTTTTTAACTTTAATTTTAATTGTATAATGGAGTCCCACAGAGCTAGTTTACACCCTGATGTATTTTTTTTTTTTTTATTTAATTTTTTTTTTTAAATAAAACTAATTAGATTAAAAAAAGTTTGCTACAAAAAACAAAGAAAATTATTGATTTTTCACTAATTAATTTATGACATTATCAGGCTAAATCAGCATGCAATATTATAATGCTAAGTAAAAAAATTTTAAGCAAAATATATAAAAATAGTTTATATAATGTTATATAGAAAATTTATATTAACTAGTGAAATAGGTATAGTTGACTCAGCTTACATGTGGTGACCTGAGTCAACTATACCCAAAATGTTAAAATCGGTAACTCACAATTCCACGAACCAAAATGTAAAATATGGACCACCACAAGTACAGTCCTGGGTCCAAAACTCTTTAATATCTATACAATTGATTATGTTCAGATAATTGTATACTATACATTATACATACTGTACATAATCAATGTTAAAACTTTTGAATACTCAGATTATCATTAAACTCTAAAAGTATTCCTTCCTTCATCTCAGTTAATGCACTACCCCTGGATGTACCAAAATGTCTTGAGATAAATGGATGAGTCAATCATCCTATCGTATTAACCTATTAAAAACAAAAATATTTATTATAGCACCGCCTAGCAATCAAAAAGGTATTATTAAAGGTTAACAAGAAATGCATTAGATTTGTTGACAAATTATCTTGAAAAACAAGAATTATCTTGAAAAACACAAATAAATAAGATTGTTAAAGACTACTACAATATATTGAGCAAAATATTCAAAATAAAACAATTCTTATCGCACAAAAATTTGTGCACCATAGTATGTTTGATAATATTTGTACAGCTAGATTATTGCAATTCCCTCTACTTTGGAATTGAATAGACACTATTTAAAAAACTGCAGTCTGTTAAAAAATTGCTGAGCAAGTGTTTGCCCACTTATCCATTATTCTGGTAAAACACAGTAGCTGTGGGTAAACCTATGTATTTATTTATTTTTAATGCTTAGATATAAGTTTTGCTGTGTTTTGACTAAAAGCCTATAATTAGTTATAATTGATTGAATATTGTTACCATTAAAAATGTTTATAATATTAAGGTAAATTAACTGGTGACCATGTAAAAAATTATTATCCTGTGTAAAGTGCTATTTTGTACACAAAAATTCCTTCAAGTAAAAAAGACTTGATACTAAACAACATGGGTTTATTAATGTGAAAATTTTGTTACAAACTTTTTTAAACCTAGTAAGTATTAAGGTATATTTGTTATAATTGTTATTTTTTATGATTATTTTTCATTTTAAATAATAGTAAGCAACCCATTATATAGATTATTAGTAAACAAATCATTAATAACAATATAACCTGATATTATTTTAAAAATATATTAAAATACAAATTTATTTTTATATAAGCTTTTTAGTTCTGCTCGCTTGTACTTATGTGTCTCGCCTGTACTAATGTGTCTCGCTTGTACTAATGTCTTGACTTTTAGTTAATTATATAAAAAGAGTGCATAACATCAATTATTAAGTTTTTTTTTTAAATCAGTTATAACAGCAGTCTCAGCACTTTCTTGGCATTAATTGGAATAAGTTTACAGGCCTAGCTCCAGATTCCAGGTCTGGCTATACACAATAGTTAAGTAGATTAATTCTTATTCTTTGTAGCCGAATAATATTTAGGTAATTATTAATTATTGGTATTTTCAAAGTTATTTTAAGCCAAAAAATCTGTAACAACAACTATGCTTCTTGTAACAAAATTAACTTGGTTAAATTTAAAAAAAAAATGTGTTTAATAGTAAAACATTATTAAATTCTAGTTAAAAAGAGAGAGGCAGAAAGTCTTTTTAAGGTTTTGTGTTAATGAAATTTAAAAAGACCTACACATCATTTATTAAATAAGTTGTTATGAGCATATGAGCAAAAAAGGATATAATTAGTAGTTTGAATTTATAAAAAAAATCTAAACATATTTAAATTTAAGACCATTATAAATAGTTATTATAATAACTTAATAAAATTTGGTTTGTGAAAATAATGCAATGACTAATATTAAAGCTATAATAACAGTTTTTTAACAAATATAAGTTCTTTTATAAATCTTACATTTATTAGTCATGATTTCATAAAACAACTGAAGTTATTTTACTAATTATTTGTGTAAGTTCCAATAAGTTGTGGTAAGTTCCATAGTGTTAGAATTATGTATAATCTATACTCATTGAATATATCTATATTACCCCACCTATCTATATTATACTATATGTCACCCTACTTTATTTAATAACTTTAAAATGTTGAAAGTTTTATTGTACATTTTCATTATATATTTGAATTTAGATTTTTACTTAAATTGAGTTGCTTTCTTGTTAAAAAGTCCTATGGAGGCCTGTAGTAGATTCTAGTATATGTAGTAGATGTTAGATATTTTTACACAAAATTTGTGAAAAATCAAAAAAGTTAAAACCTATTAAATTTAAAAAATTGAATTTATAATGTTATAGGATCTTATAGAACATTTTGACAAGAGCTGGCCATGATCAAATGAACAAAGAAAAAAAAGAAATAAGATAAAAAATTTTATAATTTTTTTTTTTTTTACTATAAGCCTGCTCCAACTCCAAACCCGATAAATTCAAGGTTGCCAATTTTTGAAGGACTTGGTGGAGGTAAGATTTTAAATTGAAATAAGAATTTTTCTTTTTTGCATACAAATTCCATTTTAATTTTAATTAGCTTGTAAACGATGCTGTGATGATTGCTACTTAGTTTAACATTATCTTTGTTCATATTAGTTTTTTTATTTATCAATAATTGTTTAATGTTTGAAATGATATAGGGGAAGTGGGGGCATAACCGCCCCTGTAACGGATTGATGTTATATGAAAATATAAGCAAAATGTGTCTTTTTAACAGTTTGTTTTAATAACCACATTACTAAGCTTCAAATTGCTGCAAAGAGGAAAAAAATAAAACGGTTTTTGAAAATGTTATTATACAAAAAGTAAACTTTGTGAAAAAAACTAAAATAGTTATATTTGATGGAATGTTGTTACTTTGTGTTATGCACAACCGCACCCTCGCAAAAATTGTTGAAGGTACACTTTCCTTGGTACAATTTTTTTTAAATTAAGAAATGCACATTTATATACCTACAATATATAATAATATAATAGTCATCAGATATACATAAATATAACAAGATATTGATTTATACTCTTAGCTTTATATTTTAATCAAAAACTCATTTATAAAAATTAAATAAAAAAGTACAAAATCTAATTTCCAACATCTCAAAACAAAACTATTTCTATTCAAGCTTTTACAAGAAGGCATTAAAGTGTGATGATTGTATATATTGTTATTCATAATTACCTAACTTTGATAAATATCAAAAGTATGTGGTTGTGACTCCTGTGCATCTATGCAGTTCTGCCACATTAGAGAGCATTAAGATCTACAATAAGTCAAGACCGGCTCACTAATTTCTTAGTTATATCTATTGAATAAGATCTGCAAAAAATCGTTCAACTGGTTTGTCTCTTCATTAAACCTCACAAACCCGATTGAGTGCACAGGTTGAGATTTTGAAGCTGTTGGTTAAGCAACTGAGAGAAATTATTTTTTCTTTGCAGAAACTTCAGGAACTTGATTTAAGTGCTAATCTATTGAATGACATAAAGTCTTTAGAGAAATGGATTTATTCATTAAGTTTATTATCACGACAACCTTCTGGTTCGAAGCGTGCCAAGCAATTGTCAGCGTGTCATTTCAATCAGGAAACATTACTTTAGATGAAGAGATGAAGCTTATGAGGGTTCCTATCGAAGATCTTATGAATTTAGATATTCTTGGCCTTAATTAATTAATGAAGCACATTTGGTTACCTCCGGTTTAGCTAGTTATGCGTCAAAGTTAGTTCAAAAAAGGACAAGGAAGAGGAAAACCTTTTACAAAGAAGCAAGGAATGAAGTTCATTTCTATGAAAATGATGAAAAGTAGTTTGAGGTGAACGTATTTAACACTGTACCCGTTTTTCAAAACACCTTTAGATGCTTTTTACGTATTTTGAGAAAAACGCAATTAAAAATAATAATACAAGAAAGTTTTTGTAAAACGTTTTTTAAAAATTATAATTTGTATGAACTTTTTCAAAGTTCTTTAAAAGCAATTATTCAATAACCTTTGCAGGCAGCTAAATAAGCTTATTTTCTAAAAAAGTTGATTTTGATTTTTTTCACCTTAAGGTGTTATGAAAACGACTAAAGAACACCGCTCTCGATACTTTAATCCAACAAATAAGAGACAGATTTTGAGCTGCAGAAAATATGACAAACAGTTTCTCCTTCCTATGGTTCTCGTAATTGAACCACCTAGCCTGGAGGAGAAATGTAAAACTTTGGTACAAATCTATGTGAACAATGTAGATGAAAACAAACTGATTTTAAAGGTCCATCATCTGGATATTCTGAAGCACACCAAGCTTTTCAGTCCAAAAGAATATCTCACTTCAATGAAGCTGTTAAATGGAATCTATTAAAAAGGTCTAGAGTTTATCTTCGAATCAATAGGCATTTTGTTACGTATTTTCAACACAATTCTCATTTCCATTGCCGAAAGAGAGATCTTTCAGTAAGCTTAGTCTAGACAACATTAAGATCTACAATAAGTCAAGACGGGGTCACTAATTTCTTAGTTATATCTTTTGAATAAGATCTTGCAAAAAATCTGTGCTACAATGAGGTCTTTCCAAATCTTGCTTTAAATTATGCCCGTAGAGTCAAATTCTCATGAAGCAATTTAAATATCTATTACATTTAAAACTCATAGTTACTTGCAATGTAATAAAGTTCAGTAACTTTTCAACTTGTGCTTTTTTTTTATTTTTATTTCAAATTTATTTTAAAAATAAATAGAAGCCTCCTCGACTGTATTTACTCCCTCGGACTTTAAAGTGAAATTAGTTATATGAACAGTACCTAAACTTTTTTGAATTAGATCAATATGACAGGGTGCTAGATAAGTTTTGACCCCGGGCGTCATAAAGGGTCGCGGCGGGCCTGTATATATATATATATATATATATATATATATATATATACATTCATTAACATAATTGTGTCATTTAATACTTTAAAAATTTTTTCAAGTCCATTAAAATAAAAGTGTTAGTTATAAATGGCTGAAACAAGAAATATTAGAAAATTATTTCTTGTAACAACAATAACAATGGTAACTAATGGTAACTCTATACCTGTGCTTGTTTTAAAGGTCAAAATATAAGTATTGCTATTACAAGTAAATGACATTATTCAAAGTATATTTTTCAAAGACTTGTTTTGTTGAAGTAATTAGAATTAATTTAAATTATAGAAAAATGTTCATTAATAGAAAAATGTTCATAAACATTTAATGCTGTTTTTAAACATACATTTATTCTTCGAAACCAGTACATAATAAAGGAAAAATAATTAAATTTATGAAATGCTTTGTTAAGTTAATGTAAAAAATAAAGTAAACAAAAGATTCTAAAAAACTCTTTGTAGTAAAAAAAAAAGAAAAAATAATTAAATCATTTCCATTTTGATGGAATATTACTTTTTTCTTTTGCCAGAAATGCGTAGCTTTTGTCAAGTTAGAAAAAACTCCATCAGTAGTGATTTTTTACTTTATTTAAAAGAATTTTAATAATATAAGAACATTAAAAATCAAATTTTTTAAATTATAATGGCTTTCAAAAACATCTGTAGTTTTTGTTTAACTAAATTTTTTTTGAGTGTATTAACTTAAACTATTTTTTTATAAAGTTCAGTAAAGAAAATATCGTTACCTAAAAAAGTTTAGGTTTATAAAATCAAAATAATTTTTTTTTAATATTATTATAAAAAAGGAATACTTATTTAGTTGGACATATTTAGTAATAAATAAAATTATATATAAAATTCATTAATACTTAAAAAAATTTTTATTTTCAATTAGTTACTTTTTTAAAATAGTTTAGCTAATATGAAAGTTGATATATTAGTTAAGATAAAATGTTTGATGTTATTTATTTCTAAAAACTTTTTATATAAAGCACATTTTTCAATTTTGTTACAATCAAGTTGTTGAATTTGTTGAAAACAATCTTAATTAAATAAGTTTTTAATCAATGTGTCTATCTTTGTTGTCAATTTATTATGGAGTTACACCTAATTTTCAGTGAGCAGCCCTAGATACAATAGCTGGCCCTAGGTACAATTAAAAAAAGCTTATTGTACCTAGGGCCACTGATTTTTAAACTCTACTTCAAGTCAAACTTTTATAGTTTAAGTTATCATAGCTATATTAATACAAAGTAATTGAGTTGTGATCATATCAGTTTCACCATTTTTAGACAATTGTGAGGCCTAGAATTTGGCCATTGAAAAAATGCAGCCCTAGGTACACAAACTTCCCCTATATATATATATATATATATATATATATATATATATATATATATATATATATATATATATATATATATATATATATATATATATATATATATATATATATATATTAATGAAATATTAAATATTAAAGCATAAGAATTCATTTCAATGCGAAAGTAAAGCTAACGCCACAGAACTTTCTAAATATATCTGGGAAATTTTTGTATATAATTTTTGTTATGGTTTGTAACGTCTGATGATCTCATATAGCGTGAAACTCTGAGTTATGTTATAAATTTAGTTTTATTATTATTTTAATTTTTATTTGCTCTACTTTTGTATCGAGCACTGTCTACCGAAATATTACTGGTATATTAATGCTCCTTTGTTGTTGAGCACTCTCTAATTATTATCGGTGCTTTAAATAATAATAATAATAATTCTATAAACTATTTTGGAATATGGAACAACATTCCTATAACTATTCAACGAAGAACATACCAATACCTACAAAGAAATTATATCTTAAATACTTAACTGAAAAAGTTGAGTTAGTCATCAAACGTATGAGATGGAAAGCCTTAATTTGCAAAAAATCTTAACCAAGAAACAGATTACCGCTTTAATTTTAAAACAAGAAAATGTCCACCGCAACATCCGGATCTAGTAAATTTCGAAAACGATCTACTTAAAATGATACAAAATATTTCATTTACTAATTCCTACAACCAGTTTCAAAAACAGATAAATAATGATATTTGCAAAATTATATCATCAGATGTTTCTTTTTGCGGATAAATCACATAATATTTACGAGTTTGAAAAATTTTCTTACAATAAACTTTTCAATGAAAACGTAACAAGAACTTACAATAAATCTGATAATTCGCAATATAATAACATTAATAATGCGGCTAAAGTAATTGCTAAAAACTTAGGTATTGACAACAGGATGGAATGTCTTGCAATGAATACCGCGTTTATAACTATAAAGGATCACAAAGATGATTTTGTCAACAATACTAAATGTCGTTTAATTAATCTATCTAAACCAGAACTTGGAAAGGTTAGTAAAATTTTACTGGAAAACATTAACAATAAAGTGAGAAAAGCCACCCTTGTAAATCAATGGCATAATACAGATGACGTTATAAATTGGTTCCGCAATATTAAAGACAAACACAACTGCACTTTCATCCAGTTTGATATCGAAGAGTTCTATCCTTCTATTTCTAAAGAATTACTTCAAATTTCACTTATTCACGCCAAGCAATTTACAGAAATTTCAGAAAATACATTAGATATTATCGATCACTCAAGAAAATCATTATTGTTTACTGAACACAATAGTATCTGGGTCAAAAAACTTGGTGATCCTAATTTTGACGTCACTATGGAAAGTTACGATGGGGCTGAGGTGTGTGAGTAAGTTGGACTCTTTATTTTACATACTTTAAGTCAAGACTATGGGTTGAAAACCGTTGGATTATATAGAGATAATGGACTTTGTTGTTTTCATGGAAACTACACCACTACCGCAAAAGTTATATAAATATATTTGCCAACATATTGTTTATTAAAACTTTTTTTTAATTTTAAGTTGTGTTTAGCTTTAACTTTTTAATAAATAGACTTTCTTAGAAGACTTATTTAGAAGCTTAACTGATTCAAAGATACAAGTGAGAATATTTAGTTTATTAACTTATATTTGACAAAAAAATATTTTATATTTCAACCTTTTGATGTTTTTGAGTTTTAAATATAATAGTCGTTAATTAATAGAATGTGATCAAATCTGTACAAAATTGAAGCTTTAAGTGAAGTTTTAGTTTAATAAACTTTTTGCGCTAGATATTTATTTATAAGATGTTTATAAATATTATGTTAGATATTTATAAATATTAAGCAAAATATTTAATATTTTAACATTTAAGTTTGGAATTTTCATTGAAGTGTTGCAAGTTTTGATATTTTATTACATTTTCATTGAAGTGTTGCAAGCTATATATATATATATATATATATATATATATATATATATATATATATATATATATATATATATATATATATATATATATATATATATATATTTATGTATATATATATATATATATATATATATATATATATATATATATATATACATATATATACATACATACATACACTTTGTATTATGTACATAGATTTATATTTGCCATCTTTTTTTTGCCAACCTAAATCCATACCTTTTTTTCAAAGAAAAAAAAACTAAGAATAATGAAAAAAATTTATTGCAGTTCTAACCTTAAAACTCAGTCAATGTAGAACTCTTTCAACTATTGTTAATTTTACTATAGTTTTTCTAGTTTTTCAATTTGTAATAATTTAAAAATTTTAATCAATCTTTCTTTTTAGTAGGTAACATGCAACAACAGATGGCCCAACAGATGATGAACAATCCTGAAATGTTGCGTCAAGCTTTAGACACTCCATTATTTCAGAGTATTTCATCCAATCCTGACCTTTTGCGATCTATTATAATGTCTAATCCTGAAATGCAAAACTTAATAGAGCATAATCCTGAAATCTCTCATCTTTTAAATAATCCAGACATAATGAGACAGACAGTAGAAATGATGCGCAATCCTTCAATGATGCAAGAGATGATGAGAAATCAAGATCGTGCTATGAGCAACCTAGAGGTAAGAAATACCATTTATTTTCTGTGTGCAAGTTCTTGTGATGATACTACAGTCATAATATTGCCATGTTAAATCCATTAACCAAAAATGTTTCCTTTTTTTTTATGCTTTTGCTATTTGTATGGACATTTGTTTTAAAGTTTTAATAAATTTACATACCAAAAAAAAAAATTTAAATTATTGAATTTACATTAAATTTTTCAGGATATTAGCAAAGAATTTTTCAGGAAAAAAATTAAATAATTTTTCTTTCATATAAATTAATTATTATTTTAAAAGCTTTTGTATAATTTCTGTTATGATATGTTTTATATAAATCTACAAATGTTTAATGTATATTCAAGCTCTGGTTACAAGTATAATGATACAAGAGCTTTAAAAACTTGTTTCAAATGGATTAGGCAGTTAGGTGTAAGTCAACCCTGCAATCTGGTCAATCGATTCAAAGCAATCTATCTGTTTTAAATGTTTCTTAGGGCTGTCTATTTGCATGAGTTAGTTTTTTTTTTTTTTTAGTTTTTCTAAAAACAAGATCATTGCAGGTAGCCATCTCAATAGGCCATACTATTACAATACAATTTAATAAAATACTAATTAGCTGCTATTGGAACCAAATTTAAGTTAAAACTAATAAAAATTTTATAAAATTTTTGCTAAAAATTGACTCACTCTGAAATTAATTTCACAACAATGTTGAGTTTTTTTTTTTTCATTTCTGATGACACTTCACGACATCTAGCTTTAACTTTCAATGATTAAAACAAATTGTTTTATAAAGTATTATTAGAAAAAAGTAAACATTAAAAATACTTGCAAGTATTTTTCTTTAAAAAATGTTGTTTAAATAAAATTTGTTTATTAAAATTTTAGTTATTAAATTTTTATAAATGTTCATTTTATTTTGATATGAACCTGCTTGAAGGAAAATTTTATTACTATTCCCAAGAGTAATCTTTTGACCTTGTTTGTTACCATACCACTGTTGTTATTATTATATTAACTACATAATAAAAATGTTTTTAAAAATTTAGTTTTTTAAATATAAAATTAGTTATTTTTTTTATTAACAATTTAATAACATTTGGACAGCTCTTAAATATGTTAAAATCATTTAAATCTTGAATTTAATACTTGAAAATATATGTATACTAAACACATAGTCAAAAACCTTAATCTCAAAAATAAACAGAAAATTGTTATAATAAACTTTTTTTTTATTATTTAAAAAAAAAAGGTATGTTAATTAAAATTAGTGGGATTTATTTTATACTTAATTAAAATAATTAGTTGTTTCATTTTTTAATGATTGCACTGTACAACTAAAAAATATTTTGGAAGTATTAATGAATCGTCATGTTCTTATCACTGATTACCTTATTAAAAGAGTGAAAAAATAGCAGTCATGTTGTTTGTGCTGTATTATTAGTATTTCAAAAGGAAGCACAAGACATTGGGATGTCTTATTTATTTCACAGAGCATTAATGTACACTTTGTAAAAGTTTTATTTTCAAGTTTTTGATATTTTTTTAATACATTTTTCAGTTGATACATTAAATATAATCAAGAAAGCTTACATCATTTGTTGTTCAACAAAATATACAGCAAAAGTATATTTAATAGTCATACCCATTTATCTCTATGACCTTGTATATTTATCTCTATGACCTTGTATTATGTCAATATTTAAAATTTTTCTTGATCTCCATTTGTGGTCTGTTGTAAATGATGTTTTTTGAAGCACGATGCTCTTGTTGCTCCAAATAACAAAATTGTTAGAAAAAAACAGTTGAGTAAGTACGCTTAAATAGTTCAAACATTTTAGAGACACAATGAAATGTTTATTCATGTAAAGCACAATGAAATTAATTACTTTTGTCATTAATGTCATTAATCAATGATGTTACATGAAAGAATATATTTATATAAAACATATACATTCTTATGGTTTTGTAATAAATAAAGAAATCATATTTTTTATTGCTAATAACTAGTTCTTTAGCTGATTGTACTCTTTGCACCTTATTGCAATAATAGTATGGATAGGTTTTTTAAATATGTTTTTATAAATATGCTTCCTTTCTTAGTCTTTATCTTTTGAAATTTTGAATTTTTGTTAATGTGGCTTCACTATCTTTAACATATATATTTAACTATGTGTCCTCACTATCTTTAATTAAATGTTCTGAATTCAAATTCTGGATTCATTCCTGTTCCTAACACTAACAAACTCAAAACAGATTGTATATGTATGAAAAGTACAATTTGCTCCACTAATGTGGATTAATAAATAGTATTTTTTTTTTCTTCTAGTTTTTAATTTAAAATTGAATTTTTTTTTTTTATACTGTTTATTTCTTTACATACAATGAAAAAAGTCTTTTATTTTAGAGTATACCTGGTGGATTTAATGCTTTGCGGCGATTATATACTGATGTGCAAGAGCCAATGATGAATGCTGCAGATGAACAAATAAGAGGCCAGTTTGGTCAAAATCCATCTTCAACCAGTACAACTCATATATCTAATCCTCAGCTCGGTACAGAAAATTTAGACCCGTTACCTGACCCATGGAATCCAAATTCTCGCCCCTCAAATCCTCCATCTTCAAGAAATACTGCTGCGATTAATCCTTTTAAGTAAGAAATTTTAATAAATTTGTTTTTTAATGCTAGCTTTTCAGCTGTAATATATGCAAATCTGTACAGTAATTAACTGTAAGATATATATGCAATCTGCCCAGTAATTAACTGTAACGTATATAAGTAAATCTGTTTAGTAATTAACTATATATAGTTATTTCAAGATATCTATATATTATAGCTAGTAAATAACTACAAAATATAGATATCTTGAATGATCAGAACTCCAGAAGACCTATCACTTAAGATACAATAATATTTTTTAAATGTTATTACAGATATTGAAAATAGCTTCAACACCCAAGTAATTGTTTAATACTTAGAAGCTACTTGACAAGATTTTTTATTATTATTTGCACATGGAAGCAATATGTTGAAAGACAAAAAAAATGTTAAGATATTATAATTTCTAAAACAGAATCTGCTAAATTTTTATTTAAAAAATTAAAATTTTTTAAATAAAACTTAAAAAAAATAAAGAACATTTAAAAAAAGAGTAACAAGTAAAAAAGCAAACAAAAAGAAGTAGTTTGATTGTAATGCTGATTGGTTAGCATTGTTATCAGACTATAATGAGTAAACATTAAAATAGAAAAAATTGTTATTTAAACAAATATTAAGTTCTTCAAAATTGTTAATTGTCACAAGTTGACATTTCAAAATTGACTAATGTTACTGGATCCTCAGTTGAATTTATTTAACAGCGATATAAACAGACTTAATCTATTATGTTAGAAGCTAGAAGTGGAAATATAACAATAATAGTAGAAAATAGGATTTAAAGATAAATATAAAAGCATTCATTTCATAAAGACAAATCTGTGTCAATTGCAGAAAGATCTTGCACAAAAATTTAAATACACCTTTTGATATGAAAAGTAGGATTTTAAGAATATTAAGCATATCATAAAAAAACTCTAAAGAATTGATGGAGAAATTGAAGCAATTGCAAAAAGAACTTTTCACAATTGCCAGGTCAGCTATATTTTTATTAGTGGAAAGTTTAATTTTAGGTAACAATCAACTCCTGTAGTTTAAAAAGTACTCCATGCATTACTTGTAAAACTTTAAATGAAAATAGATGAATAGATGTTTAGAAAAACAATTTGACATCATCTGAATGGTAGGCTGTATGCTTTAAGAAATGCCTTTTGCCATTTATTAAAAACTACGATATGCCCACAATCTTTGGCCTGATTTATCTGCAATCCACCTCAAGTCTCTAAAATAGTATGAACAAAGTGGTTTTTTTATACTTTTTTTTTATATTATATTTATTATTTTATATTAACCCAAATTTATTCCTAAGGAAGCAAGTTCTCCATATTGTCTTGCACAGCAGTTCTTGAAAGTTATTATTATTATTATTATTTTAAACATTTTTGCTTCCAACAAGGCTGCAAGCAACCACTAATTAGTGTTGGAAGTTACTGGAAAAGAAAAGATGAAGATCGTAGAGCAAGATAACGACTGACAGACGGCTTAAAAGATTGCAAATTATATGAATTAGGAAAACAAAATGAAGGAAGCGAATTCCAAAGAACTGATGGAGAAGACCAGCATGCCAAACTTTATCAAATGCTTTAGAAATGTCAAGAGTGATGGCCTTAACCTCTCTACCTTTATCTAATGCTTTTATCAAAAGAGGTGGAATTACAGACTTGCCTTTAATATTGATACTATTAAAGATTCTCCAGAAGTCATGAAAGCCTAATTTTTGTGATGAAATATGAGATTTCATGACCTGAGAATAGCGGGCTTTGGCATTAGACAAAACCTTTTTACAATGGTTTCTAGCAGTAATAAATAGCTGTCTGTTTTCTGGAGAATTGTTTTACTGATAGATATGAAAGTAATGGTTTCGATTGGCAATTGCAGCAGCACAATGTGAGTAAACCATGTAGAAGAGTGAGGCTTAACCTGGAATCGTTGAGAGGAAATAAAAGATTCCATATCAGTCTGAATCCATGAAGTTATGTAAGAAACATGTTTGTCAACAGAAGGGCTGTGGAGTCGTAATTGCGGAGTTGCGGCATTTTTAGTGGAGTCAGAGTCGCTAAACAAAATCGCGACTCCGACTCCAATAGTAAAACTTCTCGGTATTGCATGTGCATGTATAAAACATTCAATTAACCTTATATTTATACTAAACCTCAAAGAACGTTTCATGAATTTTTCAAAAAATAGCGGAGTCGGAGTCGTTACTTTTTTTTTACGACTCCACATCCCTGGTCAACAGGAAGACGAAAGATTTCTACCCAAGGGTCATCACGAAGAAAATCACAGAAAAAGTCCCAGTCAGCTTTGAGGTAGTTGTAAGATGTACAATGATAGGGGGATTCTGATGGTAAAGAAGAATGAGATAATAGTTTTAGAGAGACCAAACCATGATCAGAAGCACCTAAGGGTGAGTGTGGAGAAACAGAGAACTGACTAGGATTAAAAACAAGACATAAGTCGAGTAGAGAAGGTAAATAATTCGGGTTGTCTGGAAAGCGAGTTGGAAAGTTGATTATTTGAGTTAGGGATTGAGAAAGGCAAATGTTGTGGGTTTTAATGCCTGCAGAGTCACTAATGCTAGAGCCAAGCCATTCAGTGTGATGAACATCAAAGTCACCTATAACAACAATATTGGCTGATGGATAAAGAGACAGGGTTTGGTCAATATGATCAGAAATAACATCAAGAAGAGTACATTGAGACGAATTAACATTGTTAATTTGAATTTTTTTCAATGTTTTAAAAGAATAACATTGAGAAGAGTGCAGTCTTGAGATAAAGGAGAGCGATATAAAACAAAGAGAAAGGGTAAAGTTGTGCTAAACGAAAGCACATAAAAGAGTAGTCTGTGGATTCAAACCTAGTTTCCCGAAAGATGGGTGAATTCTTATGAATGTAATGCCCAGGCCATTAGAGTCTTTATAACCATCAATACTAAGATTACAAGATGAGACAGCTGAACTCAAATTAGTCTCGCAAAGAGCAAGTAGGTCTGGTGAACTTTGCAAGAGATAAGACTTAACAGAAGAAAAGTTGCTTCGAAGACCACGAATATTAGTGAATGATAGCTATAGCGAACTTGTTGATGACAGTGGTTTTTTGTGTTTTATAGTTTTTGTTACTTTATTTATTTTTAAATTTGTTAAAGAACTTGACTCGAAACATAGTACTCAGTACAGTGTTTAATAGTCCAAGCAATTGCCTCATTACCATTAATAAACCCTAAATCGTAACAAAGGGCTTCAATGTGGCCTTAGCAATGCACACCAAAAGTACTAACAGGGACACCATCCATGCGCAACATGGCACTGTTAGTACTTTGATATTTTTCAGCTGTTGATGGAATCAGTCTCTCTGAAAGTTACCACAGAGTTCGGGAAACCTGACTACCAGCCGGCCTCAAAACCATAAAACTGAGTTTTAGAGCTGTACCCTCATTAGGAGATAAAAGAATGAGTTGCCTAGTTATGCAAAACCCATGCATCGTCAAGAAGATCTAACATTCAACATTCTAAAATGGAAACAATGTATTAAAATACATCTGCGCCAACCTAATAGATGAAGAAGGGGTGTGAGGCTGGTCAACAGAATCTGTTTACCCCTTATTAGTCAATTATAAAAGAAATCTTATTGAAAAGCAAGAAATTTTATATACATATTTATAAATTTGTACTTATCAAAAAATTGATAAGTAGATTTTTGAGTAATTTTTAATTAAAGGATGCTGAATTTCATAGTGTTCAAACTTTTATATACATATTTATAAATTTGTAAGTTCAATATTGGTTAATTTAAAATAAATTGATTGAAGAAACTGTAAATGTGACTCATAAATATGAAAACATTTTTATTTATTGAACATTTTCTCAAAAAAACATAAATTTAAAAAACATAAAAAAATTGCTAATTTGTTATTTATTTTTTATTTACCTTTAATATATGTGCATTTCAGAAAGTTTTTAATAAAAAATAGATTTAACTTTTAAGATATACAAACAAAGCTGTATGGTACTTTTTATTTGTTTTTAAGTTTAACCCCTTCAGCATTTACCATAAAATCAGTAAATGCTGAAGTTATAAAGCACTTAATAAACATGAAGTTTCGAGTTCAACAGTTTAAGTAATTAACATGGATAAGATAAATAAATAACCTCTTTTATTGTTGTATTCTCAGCGGCCTTGTTTATATACTTATAAAGTATTAGTTAAAATAATCAATATACCTAATTAATACTCAAAATATGATTATAAAGTATACAACAAAACATCCTTGTTACATTGATACAACACATTTTTTTATTGTTCAAGCTGAATTTTGTAGTTAAGCTTTTTCTTATTATTTATGACTATTAGTAAGTGGTCTGTAAATTGTCCAATACAAATTATGATTATGAATAAAAATTCAAAAAAAGGATATTTTGCAGGATAAACAATCAATGTATCATTGAAATATTTGGCCTAGAGTTCGAAGATAACTTTAGTATTGTTGTAGTTGCTGTAGTTGGCTGCTAGAGTTCGAAGTTAACTTTCATATTGTTGCTACTATTAAATTGAGTATATGCAATAACTTTCAGGTGTTTCATAAAATATTTATTTACTCATATTTTTATTTTAAATTCCTGCGTTTATAATTTTGAAATTTGTAAAAACCTTTTCATTATTATTTGTTTGTGTTTAGATTTACATAAACAAGGTACTAATTTATAAATTAATATTTAAAAACAATTAAATTACTTGATTCTTGCTAAAGTAAAAAAATAATCTAAATATTTTATGGTTCTTTTTGTTTTGGGATTTTATTTCTATCTACTATTTCATGTTTCAAAATATTTCTTACATTTTTTATAATTTTTTTAAACTTTTAAAAATTTAAAAATTTAAATTTTTTTTAAAGTTTATTTAGTGCAAATGCTAATTCATCGTCGACTCCAGGATCTAATGGAAATATGGCAAGTCTTTTATCACAAGTACCTAATCCTGAACTTACCTCAAGCATGATGGAGTCACCAATAATGCAACAAATGATGAATCAAATGATGAGTGATCCCAACATAATGTCATCGGTAAACAATATTTTAATTTAAATAATTGTTTAAAATGATTTAAAGCATTTTTCATCTTATTGTTATCTGTGTAATTGGTGCATGACTTTAGTACATGACTTTTCAAAATGTGACATCTCTAAAATGTGCTATTTTTCCTTATATTAAAGTTTTCTATTTGTTGAATAAGATTTAAGATATAAGACCTTAACATTACCTAATAATTTTTTTTATAAAAATTATTAATTTTTATGAAGGGTAAAAATATTTACTAAATATTATGTTTTTTTTTAACAGCTTTATTGTGTTATTTATCTTTACATGGTAATTATTACAATGTGTTTGTTTTGTTATTTAAAAATTAAACAACAGTTGTTAAGCAATTTTGTTGGTTTTTTTCTGCAAAGTCAATTTACTTTATTTTTTATAATTGCTATTATTTTTATAATTATTATATTTATATAATTTTTCTTACTTCTATTCTATTTTTCAATAATTACTTTAAACGTGTTTCCAATAGAAAATATTTACCAAATGGTTTATTGAGTGACAAAGATCTTGCAAGAGGGGATTATGATCATTGCGTTTCTAACCTTGATATTATTGTGTGTAAATGGATGGAGAGTGTTCATTTAATTTCGAATGTGTTGTTAAAACAGAGTCATCAACGACAACTATAAAAATGTTTAGTTTTTATAAAAACAAACTCATACTGAAAATAGAACTTTTTAGTTCAAACACATTTTTATGCAAAAATGAATTTTAAATTAAATTTATTTAATAAACAGTAATTCGAAAATTTGCAATAAAGTTTGCTTTTTATGTTTCTTTTTTCAGATCTATTTGTTTAACTATTGTTTGTAAGAAACAATTAAAATTAGAGTTATTTTCCTAATATAATTAAATGTAGTCTCTTTTTTGAATGCTTCTTCATAAAAATTGTAGTTATGGATTAAATAAGTAAAATTGACTTTTAGATTGTTTGAAGTTTTTTCTTAAGGTGTTTGAAGTTATTTTTTTAGTTTAAATATTTTTTTTAGTTGACTAAATTTTTTTTTATTTTTTTATTCATTTGAATTTATTTTTTTTAAGTTTTTGAAGTTTATTTTTTTATTTGTTTAAAGTTTTTTTTATTTTTTATTAGTTAAAGTTGTTGTTTTTAATTATTGATGTTTGTTTGTTTTTTTGGTTGTTTGAAGTTTACTTTATTTAGTAATTTATAGTTTATTTTTTTAGTTGTTTGAAGACTTTTTTTTTAGTTGTTTAAAGACTTTTTTAGCTCTTTGAAGTTAAAAGAGAATTTTTTTCAATGTTTTAAATGTTTATATTTAAATAATTAAATTCAGAATTTTTAATAGAAAATATTTCAAATAGAATTTGAGCATAATAATAAAATTAATAAGTCATAACTATTTATAAAAATAAACTTTGTTTATAAAACTTTGACTCGTTTAAAACAGTATAATAAAATATTTTTATTTTTCAAACTAGATTTTACTGGTTTGTTAATACCACTAATTTTTTTCAGTCATTTTGATAGGAAATTAAGTTCTACAATATATATTTAATAGGTATACCTCTCAGTCTTTTTATTATTTAATTAGTAAATTAAATAATAAAAATAAATGATTATTTTAGTATGATGTCATCGATGGCATTTTATATGATGCTAAGTATGCAAAAATATTTGTTTATAGTATATATGTTTATGTATATATATATATATATATATATATATATATATATATATATATATATATATATATATATATATATATATATATATATATATATATATATATATATATATATATATATATATATATGTATGTATGTATGTATATATATATATATATATATATATATATATATATGTATGTATATATATATATATATGTATATATATATATATATATATATATATATATATATATATATATATTTATATATATTACAATGCATATTTTTATATTTAAAATTAAAAAATCAGATTAAAGTTAATAATAAATTAATAGTAAATTAAAAAGTTCTGAACTAATATGAATAGAAACTCTTTATTTGACTATTATTTAAACTTGAATTATTTTTGATATATGTTTAACTAAAAAAGAAAAGAAAAAAGCTTTTTTTTATACATAAAAAATGTTTTCTTTATAAGATATTACCTTTTTTTTTTCTGTAGGTTTTACAGATGAATCCAATGTATGCAAATAATCCGGAATTGGCCAATCAAGTAAGTTTAAAAAAAAAAAAAACTTAATATTTTATATAACTATATATTTTTTGTTCTTGCATGCAATTTCATATAACTATGCTAAGCCAACGATATCTATTCAGATATAAGAACATTGTATAGAAAATTGAAGTATGAAAACATTTTTTTTGAAGTATGAAAACATTTTTTGTGAGAAGACAGTATTTTTTTCTTTCTGAAAGAAAAAAAAATGTTTTATTCGAAAAAGACTTTTTCTATAGAAGTTATTAAGAAATAATAGAGTTTGCAATGAAGAGCTCTTTCATAAAATCATATTTTCAAAGCTTATGCTATGAAATTGTTCTAAAAGCAAATAAAGAAATCAGCTTAAGTTTCTAAGAGCAAGTCTTAACATAATTTATACATTTTCGTACCTCTTTGTTTGCTAAAAATTCATCATGAAAGCATAAATTTGCGAAAAATATACTCAAGGCGACCTTTTTGAAATCTAAGTTAGCTGCAATACTTACTATTAAGTCATACAAATTCTTCTGGGATAAGACCAGTAATCTTTATGAGCAAGACAATTACAATATTGATAAAGTTCTAAAGCTACATGAAAAATGGAGATTGCTTGCAAAATCCTAAATTAAAAAATAAAATCTTAAATTGAGCTTCACTTTAACATTAGGTAGCATTTCTGATATTACTTCTCCCAGTCAGCAAGATAACATTAGGAAAACTAAAGTTCTCTTTAAAATTTTAATTTTACAGCCTTCAAAGGAATCCTAAAGTGTTGAGACAAGTTGTGTTCATATTATAGAGAATGAAAAAAAAAAATTTGGGCTGAATTGTTTTGATTAAAACAAAATAAACGTATAACAAGAAAAACTGACTTTGTGTTTTTCTTGAAGCTCGCCATCTCCATGTTAGCCAGTTACTTCAAGTCTTTAAAATATATGCCGCAATCAACAATCGCAATTACTATCGACTTTATAATTTATTCAAGCGGGTTTAATTTCAAAGAGTTTTAGTATATGACATCATTGTAGAATTTTGATATAAAATCTAAAAAAAAATTTTTTCATCAAATTATAGATTTTTTTTTTCATTGTAGGTTACAAGAATTTGTTACTTATTATTATATAACTAGCTGATCTGACACGTAAAATTACAGGTCTTTGTAAGTCTATTCCACACTGAACTTTTCTATACTTTTTATATGTATATATATCCTAGGCTCGTTGGTCGTTGAAATTTTATAGCCATTTAAAATTTGTTTTTAACGGAAATAAATGTTGTAGATAATTGAAAATTAAGAAAAAGTTTACACAATGCAGTTTTTAAGATGTATGTTTCATTTTTTTTTCAATGCAGTTTTTTCGATGTATGTTTCATGTTTGCTCATGTTTTCTTATAAAGCAAAGGTGTTTCACCTTTGCTTTATAAGAAAACATGAGCAAACGTGAAACTTTCTCATGTTTTCTTATAAAACAAAGGTGGTTTCTTATAAAGCAAAGGATTCTTTCTGGCCAATATTACAGTTGCAATGGCTGCCAAGAGTTTCGTGTCAAGGGAACACTAATAATAAGAAAACTATTATGTTCGGCAATAATATATATTTTTTTTCATCATAAATTACTATAGAGTTTTTTAAGTTATTTTATTTTCTAAATTTTGCTAAGTTTGCATTAAAACAATGAATAAAATATTTTAGATATTTTAAGCTTGTCTATTGCTATAAATTATTTTTGTGTTATATTTATTTTTTATTATAAATTATTTTTGTGCTATATTTATTTTTTATTATAAATTATTTTTGTGTTATATTTATTTTTTATTATAAATTATTTTTGTTATATTTATTTTTTATTAAATGATTTTTTTTCCTTATTAAGATTTTGTTAAAAAAAAATATTTTGTATTTAACTTTATAAAAGTTTAATTAATAGCTATTTATTTGTTAAACTTTTCATCGGGTACAAAAATTATCGAAATTCTTATTTAATCATGCAAGAATGAAAAGAGTAGAATAAAAGAGAAAGAAAAGTTTCGCGTAATTAAACTTTGAATGAATAAAAGTTGTATAGAATATTTTTTTTTTGCGTCACTCGTTCTTTTTTTAGATGAGAGAAATAAAAGTTTAATAGTAAATTTTCTTTGAATAAATGAGAATTGGAAAAGAAAATTGCTTGAAAATTTGTATTTGTTAATTGTGTTTTTAAAAATTTTTAATTTTTCATGTTAAGAGACAAATGCCAATTACGACACAAATTTGGAAATACCAAATATAATATGTTTTTTAATGCGCGTTATGACATTTTAACAATTTAAATTACCATCTATCTTGAATTATTGCCTTTAATTAATGTGTTTATTATTGCATTATTTAATAATAATTTGTCCGTATTTTTGTTAAATATTAGTTGTATAAAATGGGCGAAAATATACAAACTTCATGTTTTTTATTTGATGGTTATAAAATATTGAACAGTAAACTTATAATCAAAATTTATAATGCCGACTTGTGTTGCAATTAATTGTACTTTTAATGCAAAATCAGGATCTCACATATCCTTTAACGAATTTTCATATCTGACACTACTGTCAACTGTATTGTTTAGTGTATTCTTGTACTTTTTTTTCATAATCTTAACAGGTTCTAATTGGTATGGAGTTGCTGACATTTTAAAAATTTCATTATCAAAAACCAAATGTAAAATAAAATGGTATTTCCTTTTTATCTGTATCCAATTCAGCAAATTTAGCACTTTAAATTAAATCAGCGTGATCAAAAAAATTTTTTAATGAAAAAAGTTATCAGTTCATTAAATATCTCTAATTCATACTGTCAGTTTATGAAAGTAATTGTTAATAAATACTTTTTTTCAACGGGAAAACAAAAAATTGTCATAGCGTAAAAATAACCAGAGAAGTTTGAAAATAGTTCCCATTGTTTAAATAAAAATAATTAAGAATCAGAATATATAATACTGCGCTCTCTTGCGCAAAAACAAGAGACCGTATATAAAACGTTCTATATGATGTAAAATACTCGCATGAAAATCATGAGATTGGTAAGTAAAGCTTTAATATTTGTTTTAATTTAAATAATTAAAGAAATATAAGTAAGATATATAAATCTAAAAATTATCAAGATATCTGTAAAAAATAAGTTGCTCCTATAAAATGAAAATAATTTAATGTTTTTACTTTTTACAAACTTTTTTTTGCGATGTTTGGAAAAATAATACAAATAAATTTGTTTTGCTGTATGTTAAAAAAATACTACAGTAGAAAAACGCAGCTTAGTTTAATTACACTTTTCTTTTGTTAAAAGTCTACCGTAACGTCAAATACTAAAACTTTTATGAATTAAACGCGCTTCAAAGGAATTGCCAAAGTCTGTAGATTGCGGCGCATAACTTGAAGACTCCAAGTGGTTGAAAAAAATAAAGACAAGCTTCGGCAAAAACAACAACATTTGTTTTTTACCGTATGCATTCATTATTTATTTTTAATCAAAAAAATTTGGTTCAAACCTTTTTTTTTAATATTATCTTTGATATGAACACAACATGTGTTGGGAGTTTGGGATCCCTTTAAAGAGGATCTCACTTCTGTTACAGCAAGGGGTTCACAGTGGATGGTGAACTTTAACTCAGATAAAACTCAATTTTTTTCAGCTAATCGTTATGGCAATAATCTAGATCTTCCTTTATTTATGAATAATAATGTCTCAATGAGTCATCTACCCTTCATCTTCTAGGATTAACTCTTACTTCCAATCTTTCTTGGAAACCATATCAAATTGATTGCAAAATTAGCATCTGCTAAGGTTGCATCTCTTTTACGTGCTCTCCACTTTCTTACTCAAGATTCTATTCTTTGTCTCTATAAATCTCAAATCATTTATGTATGGAATACTGTTGCCATATGTGGGGCGGATCTTCCAATGATGCCCTTTCTCTTTTAGACAAGGTGCAAAAATATGTCATGATGTTGCTTCTCTTTCTCTTTTCTATAAATACTATAATGGGTACTGCTCTAAAGAACTAGTGTCTCTTATGCCATCTTCTAAAATTCATTTTCTTAATACTCATCATTCAATTGAGACTCATTTTTTTACTGTGACTAAGTGTTTTAAAAATTCCTATTCGTCAAGTTTTTTTCCTCGAAATCAAATCTTTGGAATTCACTTTTTTTAAACTTGTTTTCCTGATTCATATCGAAATCTTTTAAGTTGTCTGTCAATCATTATCTTGCTCTATAAACTTCATCTTTTCTCTTTCAGTAACTTCCAACTCTAATAGTGGTTGCTTGCAGCTTTGTTCGAAGTGAAAATGTTGAAATATATATATACTAAAACTCATTGGAATTAAATGCACTTGAATAAAGTCTGTAGATTGCAAAGTATATTTTAAATACTTGAAGCAACTGGTTGATATGGAGACTGCAAGCTTCAAGTAAAAATAATTTTCTTGGTATATGTTTATTATTTTGTTCAACTCAAAAATTTCCAAACATTTTTTTTATTTTTTTATCATTCTCTAGAATATGAACACAACTTGTCTCCACACTTTAGCTTTATGGAATTCCTTTTAAATAAAAATAAAACCGTAGGAATTGGTATAAAAGGTAATGTTCAGTCTTATAAGAAAAAAATTAAGAGCCAAAAAAAAGAAAATGATGACTGATAAAGAAAAGAAAAATTGTTACTTCTGTTTAACTCTAGTTTAGTTTTTTATTAATAAATAAGTAAATCTACCAATCTTTGAAGTTTTATTTCATTTTATGAGACCTTGCATTTCAATAAATACTATAAGAAGATCAAGAAAGCTAAATGATGGCCAGGAAAATAATAAAAGAATTTAAAAATAAAGTTAAATTAGATTGTTTGATGTGGAAAACATTTTAAATAAATATCTGGTCTAAAGTTTGAATATTTGACTGATTTGGTAAAAAAGAAAATTTTAAAGAAAACTCCAATTCAAAGTTTAATCTTGTGTTAAATTTTGAATTAAAATTTTAACCTTGTGTTAAAACCTGTTTTGGTGTGTGGTTTTCCTAACCTTATGTTAAAAGCAAAATATTGTCAATGAAACCTATTCAGTCCAAAATAAAATTTGAGAGTCTTAAAAAGTTTGAAGTAATGGGGTCTGAAAGCTAACATTACTTTCCATATTTTCAATACAACTGCTTGTAACAGGAGTTAAGAATGGAACTGCATCACTTTTAGAGGAATGTAAATTAATGAATACTCTACTTTGGTTTGTTTATTCTTATTATATTTTAAAATTGGACCTGGGAGCATTTAAGAACTCTTTGTTTAAGAAACTAAAAAAAGCTGTTAATACAGGTTTTAAAGATTTTCACAGAGAATTGATTTGCTCAGAGGTTTCACTCAAAGAATGGATTTTCTCAGAGGTTTCACTCAAAGAATGGATTTGCTCAGAGGTTTCACTCAAAGAATGGATTTGCTCAGAGGTTTCACTCAAAGAATGGATTTGCTCAGAGGTTTCACTCAAAGAATGGATTTGCTCAGAGGTTTCACTCAAAGAATGGATTTGCTCAGAGGTTTCACTCAAAGAATGGATTTGCTCAGAGGTTTCACTCAAAGAATGGATTTGCTCAGAGGTTTCACTCAAAGAATGGATTTGCTCAGAGGTTTCACTCAAAAACTTAAATAGATCTCTAGATCTATTTAAAATTGAAAATTAATTAATGTTAAAATTATCAAAATGATTAGAAAAAGCTGTAAAAGTCTTTTGGGTAGATTAGAACCTAAAATATGGAGCAAATCATTATGCCAAATAAATGTCACATTTATTGTATGCACCAAGGATGTATCTTTAAAGAAGATTCACTTGATTCTGATCTAGTAAAGTTAAAAATCATTTTAACATTCAGCTCAGTTCTGTATGTTAAAGCTTGACTAGAAGCAACAAAAGGTTCTGATGCACAGATATCTGCTGCTGCTCAGAAAGTTCTAGACACTTGTTACCTAATGTGTCAATTTTCAGTCTCAATAAATTTTCTGCAATTAAAGAAATATCTTTTTTTGTATTAATACTTTTAATTATACTATTTTACATCCACTAAGGTGTATATAGATATCATTTTGGTATCATTTGCCAAAAACATCTAGTTTTTGTACTATTCATGTCTAAAAAAAATTTTCTGGTTCTATGAAATTTTTATTCTTTAACTTGAGTTCATTAATAATGGCTGGATTTAGACCTCCATTTATATGAATATAATGTTTATAATCTCTAATGTTAGTTATACAATAATGAAAATAGACAGATAAGTTACTTATTGATAAATAAAAAATCGCATCAATCACATCATGATCACATATTTAAGCATTCTTCATCAAGCTGGTTATATTTTAGACAATTATTTAGTTAATTTAATCTGATCAAAAAATTTATTTAGTGTGCTTGGTTTATTTAAAACTTTTTTTTGTGTGCTTGGTTTATTTAGTGTGCTTGGTTTATTTAAAACTTTTTTTTTTTTTTTTTTTTTTTTTTTTTTTTTTTTTTTTTTTTTTTTTTTTTTTTTGTCTTGCAAATATTCTTTATATTCTTTTTGAGCACAAATCAAATCAAATATATTCTGAATATAGTTGTTATATATATATATATATATATATATATATATATATATATATATATATATATATATATATATATATATATATATATATATATATATATATATATATATATATATATATATATATATATATATATGTATCAAGGATATTTACAAATAGTAATTTGTACTAATATAAAGTAAACACCTGTCAGACTATATAAAAATAAGATTGAGATATTAATAATAGTTATAATACAAGTAGGAATAATAAAGTAATAGTAGTGATTATAGTAATAAAAAAAATAGTAGTAGCGATTATAAAAAGTATATACTATAATAATAATAATAATAATAATAATAACAATAATAATAGTAGCAATAATAATAGCAATAATAATAACAACAACAATAACAACAACAACAACAATAATAATATTCATTATGATAAAAATATCGTAATAAATTCAACAATAGTGATAAAGAGAATACTACTGAAACATTTTAGTTTAAAATAATAAATTTAATAAATGATATTAAAATTAGTAATATATTGTGTTTACAACAATATGTGTTTAATTCTCAGTTTAAACTCAGTTTTTAATACATTTATAATGGTTTCTGTTAGGTTACAGTTAAAAATTTAAACAGAAAAAAAAAATGACTGAGGATGTAAAAGCTGGAGCAAATATTTATTTAATAAAAGAATTAATACAATGCTCCTTTGTTTGTTTCTGGACTACCAATTTTTTGTGAATATGCTATTGACTAACTGGATAGTTACTGCTAACATTTACTGTTGGCTCAATAAAATCTTCTGTTTTAAGTTATCTGGGCATCTTTGCTTTTTAACATATTAAAATAAGAGGTAGCTGACTAAACAAAAACTAAATTATTAATGAGTGTAGTTAGCTTTTAAGAGCTTTTTAAGTAAACAATTTTATAGAATGCGATAAAGATAATTAATGGGTAGAGTTTTTTTTTAATTTAAACTTATAACCATAGTAGTCATAAAGTAAAGAGCCATAAATAAATAATAACCATAAGTAGACATAAGATTAAAATTTACAACAACCGTAATTTTTTTATCTATTTTATACTAGGTTTCACAGCAACTTCCACAAATTATGGAAATGGTATTGTTTCATATTTTATTATATTTAAATATATTATAATTTTAATTAATTTCATGCCTACGTGATGTAATATTATACATAATATTACATCACATAATATATATATATATATATATATATATATATATATATATATATATATATATATATATATATATATATATATATATATATATATTTGTGTGTGTGTGTGTGTGTGTACTACAGTGTATATAGATCAGCAAATGCTTACTAGTCTTGCTTATCTTTATAGCATACGCTTTTTCAGAAAAAGAAGGGAAAAAAAGAAGAATAATAAAAGAAAAGATTGATGCCCCATCGCAAACCCTCATTCTAATTAATAATGTTTAATAATTATCTAAAGCATTATATTTTTTGAGATTTTGTTAAAAATACAAAATTAAAAAAATATAATTTATATATATATATATATATATATATATATATATATATATATATATATATATATATATATATATATATATATATATATATATACTTACACATACAGCTATAAAAGCACATTTAGATTAGCAATCTGGCCTCATACTAAATTATTGAGGTGCGAGAGCTTCAGTGCATACATTGGCTTATATAGTGAGAACATGCAAGAGAGTTGCTACATTGGCTGAGGGTTTGGGTTAGGACAGTAATATTGAAACCAATAGTCAAAATAAAAATTAAATATAAATAAAAAATAATAATCAGTTATTAATTTTATCAAGCTTTTTAATCTCATTGCAACAGTTCCTATGTTATGTTGTTTATTTATTTAAAATCAATTATAAAATTGGTTAATTAACCTAAATTAATTATAATAAACAAATTTCCGAACATTAAATTTCTTTTATAAATATTTTATAAATACAAAATAAATAATGCTGTCAAGGACATCTTGTTTTGTATATTTAAAAAGAAGTAAAAGTAAAAACAAATCTATGGAAAAACAAGAAATAATAAAAATTATATTAAATATTAAATATAAATTAGTACTAATAAACTTTAAAGCAAATTCTAAAAAAAACTTCCACTAAAGTACTTTGAATTTGAATTTTTCAATTAAAAACAAAACAAAATTTTTTAAGTATTATTTAATAAAAGCAGATAAAAATTATTTTTTAATCTGTAAGCTATATAGAAATGGTTAAAATGTCATTATTAATGATGAGATATTTATTTTATGTATTTTAATTATAATTTAATTTTAGTAATGGTAATATTTTTTATTAGATGCAAAATCCTCAAACAAGAGCAGCCTTTACTAATCCCAGAGTTCTTCAAGCTATCCAACAAATTCAAACAGGAATCGCAACTTTACAAGCAGAAGCTCCTCAACTTATGCCGATGTATATTTTATTTGATATTCTTAAGTTACTGGTTTAAAACAATTCTTGACATTATACTTAATAAATTATATATACGCTAGATGCTCCAAAATTTATACGTCATAAATTTTGCAGCGTCTAGGGTTATTTAATCTTAACTCTTTAAATTTGGAACTAGCACTAAACTTTAAAAAATCTGTTGAGGTCCAGAAGAAGTATAGGTGTATATCTTTCCACTTCCACTCTCAATAATTAGTTTTTGTTAAGTTTATTCAATGTTTATTCAACTTATTTTACCATCCTATTAGGGTATTGCAAAATACCACATTTTTTTCATTACTGGTAACTTGTTAAAAAAATCTATTACTAGGTCATTCAATAGAGAAATAACATTAACTCGTTTTATAAAGAAATGATATAATGAAATTAAAATAAAAGTCAATAATTTTTATTGTATTATCTTTTTGAAAATATGCTTCCAAGTAGCATAAATCAGGAAAATCTTTCACTTAGTTGCAATTTTATTACTGTGGTTATGAGTCCTGCAACAAAAAAGGCAGTTTTTAATTATACACTTGCGAGACAAATAGTCAATAGATGGCTGTATGCAATTTTTAAATATCTTACAAGTGAGTTATTTGATTAAATTATTGCCTTTCTTGTTTTGCTTATTAACCTTTTCAAAATGTTTTTTTTTTAAATTTCTAATTGATTGTTTTTTACCAAGAATATATTGAACTTAACATTTGAGTTTAAAAGTGGTGATTAAGGGGAAGGTACATTAACTTCTAAAACTTCTACATTTACATAGTTTACATAAACATTATCATTGACAATATTTTCATTTTGGCTGTTAGAAATACATTCAATTAACTCAAATATTTTATAGATATTCTATAATTTTAAACTTTCCTGTTATTACTATTCAAGTTTTTGGGTGACAAAGAAAGTGTAGAACATCTGACTTAGTTGTAATATTAATTCATGTTTAAGTTTGTTGCTTGAAAAGATGTTTTGTTGTGTTCATTCATTAAACATAAATTCTAATGCTATATAAGCAGTATAAATATTTACATTGATTTTTATAGGTTGCAAAGCTGATATTTTGTTTAATAACAAGCAAATATCTTTAACACCAAATGTGATAATATTTTTTTCTGATTAATTTTTCATCTCTTCTCTATATTTGTCTGATTTGTAACAGTGCTAAATTTAATTGTAAATGCCAACATTTGGTCTCATGATGTTATTAAGCTATCACAGTAAGGTAAATTTAGTGCTAGTTAAAGTTTTAAAAAGTGAAAGTTTAGACCCATCTAAGGGACATACACTTTGTTTTAAGGTGTGGGTAGTGTTTTATCTTAGCAAAGAATGTGGAGTCAATATGAAAAGTTTTGAACCAGGATTAATGTTTTAAAAACACTGGGTCCAGACCCAAATATATGTGTGTGAGTGTATATATATATATATATATATATATATATATATATATATATATATATATATATATATATATATATATATATATATATATATATATATATATATATATATATATATATTTATATATGTATATATATGTATGTATATATATATATGTATGTGTATATGTATGTGTGTGTGTGTATATATATATATATATATATATATATATATATATATATATATATATATAAAATATATACAAAATAAAGTAAATACTAAAAAGCAATACCTGCATAAGATAAAATTTATTATTTTTTGTTTTATTTAATAAAAGATTGTCTGTCCAAGTCAAAATGCCTAGTCCACTGCACTTCAATCCACTGCCCCTATGGCTATATCAGTCAACATAAGTGCTCTCCATTGCATCTATGGCTATACCAGTCAAGTTGAATTTTATTATTGGGAATCCTCTAATCTAAAGGTGTTTATAATACGATTTGAAGATAATAAAAACATGTGAACAAGTAAAAACGAATTTTTAAAACCCAATGTTATTAAAAGACAAATTTTGCAATTAATTTTTTCTGATATTACTATTTTATTTTATTAACATTCGGCTGTATGCGTGTGTAAAAAAACAAAAAAGTTCAGGAAGAAGCGGGTCTCGAACAGACAATCTGTTTACGAAGTCAATGTCTTATCCAAATAAGCTAAATGTGTTTATATGTATGAAAACAATCAATATACTTATTTTGAAAACTATTATTCTTCTTTCTATATAAAAAAAAACTTAATTAAAATTAACTAAATTAATTGACTTATTGAAAAACTAATTATTGAATATTGTATTGTCATTAAGCAAGAGTATGTATGCAAAATTTGAATAAAGTGTTTGATCAGGAAGTGACTCTTGCAAAAATTGCAAGATTTGATGCTCACAAAAAAACTGACAGATGAGCTGAAGATTTGATGCTCACAGACAAACAGAGACGAGTTAATAAAAGCATTGGTAAAAGAAATAAATAAAGTTAAACCATTTTAATTTTATGAAGAAAAAACCATGAATTTTTCTAAAATGTCACAATTTTTTATATTAATTTTTTAACATCAATGAGGCACACATCAGCATTATCCAATTGAGCTAAAACTTCACAAATCTTATCTGGTATTAAAGTAACAAGATGTTTTTGATTACCAGTAACTAGTAATTTTATTGGTTTAATACTAGTGAGTTTTAAAACAATGAAATTGATTTAAAAAAAGAGCCATGGTTAGAGGTCTGGCTCAGAACCAAGTGGTTTGTGGTAAAGAAAGAGATGTGAACTTCCTGGATAATTGCTCCTCCGCTGTGCAATCTCATTAGACCAATAGGTCTTCTTGGAGCACCTTGACAACTTGTAAACATTTTTTTTTTTTTTAATAAAAATTAAATTCCTTGTAAACGTGTTCTGAGGCTGCATCAAAAAATATAACATTATTTAAATTGCAGCGATTATTTTTTAATAAATGGTATATACAGTGGCATCACTAGGGGTGCAGGTCGAAACTGGTGACACCATTACAACCCTGACACAGTGGGGTGACACCAAGACAAAAAAAAATGCAAATATGATAAAACTGCTCATGCTCATATTACTTTATTTTTTTGCTTGGCCTAACCAATAGCTATCAGGTTTTGATTTTTCAATATTCTTTATTAATAACTTTGCTATTTCTTCATTTCACACAAAAACCCTTCGTCAGATCAAAATATTATATTTTGCCCCAACAATTTTTAAATAAAGATCTTTTTAAAAAAAAATTTTAAAGGATTTTTTTTTTAGAAATTCAAAACCCGTTTCGTCGACCCTGTTAGTAAAAGGTGGCACCAAAAATTTTACTGCACTGGGTAAAATTTTTGGTGCCACCAACTACGGCGATGCCACTGGGTATATACAGAGATATCATTTTAACAATTGATGTTTGAAAAATTAATATTTGCTTCACAAAAAAATTGCTGCTAAAGTAAACTCTAATAAATTAAGTAAATAAATTAACGCAATTTTTTTTATTTGCTAATCGCTAATTTTTTGAAATATGATTCTGATTTTGAAATAAAATTTTGAAATATGAATAAAATAAAAAATTTTTACAAATGTTATAAAAGTAAAGAAATTGGTTGATATCAAACATTTTAGAAAATGTAGTATTAAATTTAATTATTTAATTAAAAAAAAAAAAATTGAAATAAAATAAACATTACATAATAGCATTTCTATATTTATTTAACATTTAATTAACATTTATTTAGTGGCAATCCTCTCACTCAGTCCTCTTCTTTACGTCTCCTTAGGTTATCATTACTACTTATATTACTACCAATCTTTCATGGAAACCATATATACAATCGATTGTTAAATTAGCATCTGCTAAGGTTGTTTGCCATTTTCTATCTTCTGATTCCATTCTGTACATCTATAAATCTTTTATTTGTCCCTGTATAGAATAATGTTGTTATATTTGGGCTGGTTCTTCTAATAATGCTCTTTCTCTTCTAGACAAGGTCCAAAAATGCAATGTAGTTGGACCTGGTTTATCTGCTAAGCTTGAGCCTCTTCCCCATTGTCATAAAGTTGCATCTCTTTCTCTTTTCTACAAATACTATCATGGTCACTGCTCAAAGCTATCATATCTAGTTCCATCAACTAAAACTCATTCTCTTTGATTCATCATTCAGCAAAGTCTCATTCTTTTACCGTATCTGTCCCTTCATGCTCTAAAAACTTTTATTTGTCTAGTTTTTTTCTCCGCACTTTACCGCTTTCGAACTTGAAGAACTATGAGTCAGAAAAACATGAAGATCTCCCATCTTCATGTTTTCCTGACTAATACAACCTTCAACTTTTCAACTCTTCTGTCAATCGCTTCCTTGCTCTATAGCTTTATCCTTTTTTTTTTCTTGTAACTCCCAACTTAATAGTGGTTGCTTGCAGCTTTGTTGGGAGTGAATCAGAATAAAATAAAAAAATACTAACTGTATGCTATTATTGTATACAATAATAGCATACATGCACACTATTGTTTATTGTTTTTAAATTTTAAACTATGTAGCCTTTTAAGTGAATTAAACAATCGTTTTTTATATAATAATCATTTTTTAACAAAAATTATACTATAAACTTCTACTAAAAAAAGAGTTTATGTCATCAATATTAGAAAATCCAGCATGGCTATCATCAACGTAACGTTTATAAGTTTAAAAACCAATAGGTCTATCCATAATGGTCATTATGTCAGAAACATATCTACAACATATTGAATCTAATACTATTCAACAGGCTTTAAACGTCAATATTGCACCAAAAACTTATAAACATTATGTTAATGATAGCCATGCTGGATTTACTAATATTTATGATGCAAGTTATTTTTTAGCACTTTTAAATTCACAAGATAAATCTATCCAATATACATGAAAATACAAAAAAGTATTTCAACCAATCAATGACAAATATGAGTTTTCTATACATCGTAAAGCAATTACAAACTTATAAAATCGAAATCATCTATTTCACTGAGTATTGCAGCTGGTATATTTAAAGGTTTTTTAGCTCGAGCATACAAAATTTGTTCAGAACATAACATTTAAGATGAAATCAATTTTTTTATTAAAATTTTTATTAAGATTTTTACTGAAAATGAAAATTCCAAAAAACATTATTCAGATATTGGTAAAAATTATAAATACTCCATTCATCTTATTCTTAAAAAATTGACACCAAAAATCTGGTTATTTTACCATTGGTCTCAAAATTAAGCCTTGTTCTTAGAAGAAAATTTTGTTAAGTTGACGTTAAAACTGTCTTCTGTTTTTTATTATTAGGACTATGAGTCTAATGTTAAACTTAATATTTAAATAGATGATTTCAGTATTTAAAAATTGGAAATAGATTAAAATCAAAATTTTTATTTTTGGGACAACTCTTAGATTGTCATGTGTGTGTATGTTTGTGTGTGTGTAAAACATAAAATATTTAGTTATTTAGATTATTTGATTTTTATTGTATTTTTTGATAATTATTTTGTAGTTTTAATCTTCCATCAAATTTAAATGGCACGCCATCGATGCCAGCTAACAATGCTTCTTTAAACCAGTTGTTTGGTCAGCTTATGACAAATATGGGGACCACACCAGGGGAATCGAATTTAACTCCTGAGCAACGTTATCAAACTCAATTGGACCAGTTAGCTTCTATGGGGTTCCTGGATAGAGCTGCAAACATTCGTGGTTTGTTAATATATTGTTATATATTATATTAGTATTGTTATATATTATATTAATATATATATATATATATATATATATATATATATATATATATATATATATATATATATATATATATGTATATGTATATATATGTATATGTATATATATGTATATGTATATATATTTATATGTATACATATGTATATATATATATATTTATATTTATATGTATATATATGTATATATATATATATATATATATATTTATATGTATATATATGTATATATATATATATATTTATGTATATATATATATATATATATATATATATATATATATTTATGTATATATATATATATATATATATATATATATATTTATATATATAATATATATATATAATATATATATATATATATATATATTATATTTATGTATATATATATATATATATATATATATATATTTATGTATATATATATATATATATTTATGTATGTGTATATATATATATATATATATATATATATATATATATATATATATATATATATATATATATATATATATATGTATATATATATATATATATGATATATATATATATATATATTATTATATTATATATTTATATATTCGTTTATTGTTTATGTTTTATACTAACCATTAATAAAATTATTTTATATAAAAGGTTGGTTTACTAGAAAACAGTGATTTTATATATTTCCATTATGTTATTTTACATTTAATACAAAACTGTTGATTGAATTATTTAGTGGTTGATGAAATGAAGATCCAAATTTTAGATCACCATAGTAACAAAAACTTTTATTAGTTAATTTTTGAACCAATAGTGTCTGAGTGTGCAGGCATCAACTCAAGGTTTTAGTTAGAACAACTAGTGGTGCTTGGGGTCACTTTGTATTAAGATGTATGGTGGTCACAAAATTTATGGAGTTCAAACCCCAAAGTTTAAATCTCTGATGTATTGTGAGTGCTATAATTTTTTAGGGTTAATAGAGACTTTTTATTATTATTTTTTTTTTGTTTTAAGTTTAACACCCATGGTTCCACACTTGTTTTTTACAAGGTTTTCATAATGACAATTTTTGTTTTGATATAAAACTATAGAAGGCCCTTTTTGTTGTTAACCTTTTTTTTTTTGTCAGCCTTTTTGTTAATTTCCAGATCAGGAGATTATTATACTATACTGCTTTTATTTTGTACTTATACTGCTGCTGATAATAGATGGTAATAGTCTGATTACTACTTTTATTCACCATTAAATTGGAGGTTTTGTATCAGTTCCTTTCCTTTCTGCTTTTTATTGAATTTGTGACAGGTGAATTTCTTTCACCAATTTTGAAAATTCTGCAAATAGAAAGCAGAATTTTTTCCATTTTTAAATTATAAATTCAAAAATGGCAAAAAAATGTCTTTAATTTAAAAAAAAGTTTTTTAAGGTTTTATTTATTTCTAATATTGTTTTTGACTTTTTTTTCTGTTAATGTTTTTGATTATTTTGTTTTCAGCTCTCCTCCTCACAACCTCTTCTATCTAGTTTATTTTTTATTTTTTAGCTCTTACCAACACTGGAGGTGATGTAAATGCAGCCATCGAAAGACTGATTGGTGGATCTTAGCTTTTTTATGAAAGTGGTTGAAAAGATATTTTTCAGAAAATTTTAAAAATATTTTTACATCATAAAAAATGTTTTCTTCACATAAGTTCATAAATAAAAAATGTATTATTGAAAAGAAAAAAAATTTAATGCAAATGTTTTTTTTTGTTTTTGTTTTTTTTTTTAAGTTTTTTCTTTTTAAACTATTTCTTTATAAGTTATCTTCATTAATTTTGAATTTAAGAAAACTTGGTTGAATCTTAATGTGCTCTTCTTTTAATTAAGCTATGTTTCTTTTATTGTTTGGTTTAATTAAACTATGTTTCTTTTATTGCTTGGTTTATATGCTATCATTAAAGAGGTCGATATTTATTTTTAAATGTAAATGTATGCAATGATTGTTTCTAATTATTTTTTTATTCCAACTTATTATTTAAATTTTGTGATAATTTTATTCATTAAAATAAAAATTCTGAAATTTACTGAATGAGGAATATTTTTAAGTGTGTCCTATCTGTATATATCTCAGAACAATAGATGAGTGTTTTTGTTTGCTTTTTGTTTGACATTTCATTTTATATTGGTTTAATTATTTTAAGTTAAATGTATCTATATCAGTATATTTATGTATATAAAATTACATACATACATACATACATACATACATACATACATACATACATACATACATACATACATACATACATACATACATACATACATACATACATACATACATACATACATACATGCATGCATGCATGCATGCATACATACATACATACATACATACATACATACATACATACATACATACATACATATATACATACATACATGCAGGCATAATGCATGCATACATAAATTAAATAATAAAATATGCTTATTCATAAATTTTAATAATTTTAATTACAAATATATAAATAGGATTTAAAAATTAAATGTGTTTTAAAAATGGGATTTAAAAATTAAATGTAGATTAAAATCAAAAGCATAGTATAAAATAAAAAATCATATTATATACTGTTATTTTAATTGTTGATTTTTATATAGATAGATATATATATATATATATATATATATATATATATATATATATATATATATATATATATATAATTTTTTAACAATAAATTTTTTGAGATATGAATATATAATTAGGTAAAATGTTTTTATATAATTGAATAGAAAAATGGTTTCAGATTTAAGAATTCAATTTAATAGAGGATGATGGCTCATAATGACAATGGAAAATAAAAACAGTGAGAAGTATTTTTTTTTATAAAAAAATTTTATTTTTTGGTGTAGTATTTGTTTTAATAAAAAAAAAAAAAATTTTAAAGATGTTGTTTATTTTTGCATGTTGTTTACCATCTGTATAATGATTTCATTCTGTTGAAATTTTTTTTTCATTTACATAGCAAACTATATGGAAAGAATATTTTTTGTTGTTTTTGTTCAACATTTTTAACCAGATTTCCTTTTTATTTCAGTTCATTTTGTTTGTGTAAAAATGTCATTCTTTTATATAATATAAAAATAAATAAATGAAGTTTCTCACATAACTCACAAAAATATGTTTCCATATGTTGTGTTTTTTTTTTTGTTTTTTTCTTTAAAATTTCCTTGCCCTCTATTTGTTTCCTTCAACTACATTATTCTTTTGTAGAAGATAAAATCTAACATGTAAAAAAACAAACTTCAAAATAAAACCTTTTTACATGCAAGGATTTTGAGGTTATTATGGTGTTTTTTCTAAATTACATTTTTTTGTATTTTAAATTACTTATTAAATGCTATAAAAATAATTTTAAAAGTAAAAATACTAATACAAAGTCAAGTTTAATTTTTTTGGTGAGGGTTTTATAGTTTTATATATTAATGAAACATTTAATATATAAAAATTTAAATTGTTAAGAGTTGATAAATTTAAATTTTAAAATGAATTAAATTTATTGTTATTTTGTTATTGATAATATTGTATTATTATTAATTTTTGTCAGGCATTACAATATATTAGAGTGTTTTTTTAACAGCAACTTTTTTTAAAATAAGGGTTCTTCAACCCTTAAATGTTTTCTACATAGTAAAATAACACTTTTTAAAATAAATTTTTTTGAAATGGTCTAGGTAGACCCTATAATTTAAATATATGAAAGCAAGCATTATTTTATTATATAGAACACATTTAGAGGTTGCATATTAAAATATTGTAATGTGTCTTTAAAAACACCCAAGTATACATTGATAATAATATTACATGTTTTATTTTTTTTTTAGTTAAAATATTGTATTACTTTTCAATGTTTTTATATATATTTATTTTTTTATAATTCAATTTATTAAACTTTATTATAATTGCAAACCAGAATTTTATGTGAATATATGCCATAGTAGCATATGACACATATATGATTTATATAGATGAGTAATTTGGTTAATTACCTATATAATTTAAGTAATATAATATATTTTTTTTGTAAATGGTTAATGCAGTTTGTGCAGTACAATGATCCTTTGAAGATTTTCAATAATTTTTCGAAGAATAAAAAAAAGGCCCTTGAAAATGTTTACAATAATCTTTGACTGATCAAAAATAAAAAACAATGGAAACTAGTAGTTTTCGTAACTTTTTATTTTAACCAATTTGTTGTTGTTTATTATACTATATATATATATATATATATATATATATATATATATATATATATATATAATATATATATATATATATATATATATATATATATATATATATATATATATATATATATATATATATATATATATATATATATATATATATATACCCATGTATTTTCTCAGAAATATTGTTTAGGACAAATTTGATTTCAAAAAAAGACCATTTCTCATGAGCTTTGTTTTAATGAAGATTCAAAATGAAAGACGACTCCAAAGTGAATTTATCTGATGCAGAAGTGCTGGAATATTCTGATTTTATTATTGAAGAAAAACCTCTGAACAATAAAAGTGATGTTAACAAGTAAGTCATTGTTAACAAGTAAGCAACTTAAAAAAATCATGTTAACAATTTATTTGAAAAAATCTACTTTATGAAGATTGTGTTTGTGTGTATATGTGTTTGTTTGTTTGTGTGCGCGCATGCATGTAAAGTTTATAAAAATTTTAATGTCTTTTTTACCTTAATTATATTCTGCCCCAACCTAAATCTGTAGTCAATGTAAAACTGAGGGCTTAGTATTACTTTACAAAGTAATTAGTTAATCATTTGTATTATTTTCACTTTCGAAATTCATCCCATGTTACCCATGTTGAGTCTCATATATCAGTGAAATTTTATGTTTCTAAAACTATATCAACCTATTAAAAGTCACAAAAGAACCAGAATTTTATGAATATTTTAAAATTCACAATCCTTTTTTTTTAAAAAAACATTGTGAAAAAAAATGCTTCAAATGTCACAAAGAAAGACCATATTATTTTTTGTTTAACTATGCTGTTTTCTTGTATATAAAATTTAAGTTATTAATTTTAATTTAAAAAAAGGGGTAATAAAAAGTTATAAATCTTATTGGTATTAGTAATCGATTAAGTTTTCAATTAAATTTCTGTAGTTATATCATATAAAAATCTACTGAAAATCACATTTTTGAAATTAATTGGAAATTTGAAAAACATATCATTAGTATGGATTGACTATTAAATTAAAAATCAGAAAGGATTTTATCACCCCCTAGTACAATCTTGTTAAAAATAGAATTTTATATGTAATGCCATTATGTTTTATTTAATTAGTTAAGATTTTACAGTTTTGTTAGCAATGTTTCTAAATGTTGTTGCTATGTATTTTTTTGCTAAAAGCAATTTTTTTTCTTAAATTGGTGTTTTATCTCAACCTTAAAAAAAAACAAGGAGAAACTTGTTGATGCTAGTTTTTTCTAGGGATGTGGTTGGTTTGAACTCCATACCTCTTGCTTACAATGTGAGCACTCTACCACTACACAACTACTGCATTTGTACTGCATTGCTGCAATTGTGTACTATAATAGTATTATTAATTTTATTGATTAAATTTTTATATGTATGTGCGTGTGTGTGCTTATATATATATATAGTTATATTACTTATTTGATTATATAGGACAGCATGCATTCGAAAGAAATTAGGTTTTGTGATTCATCATCATAATTTCCAGATTATCATTTGTTTGCTGGTGTTGCTAGATATTGCAATAGTTGTTACTGAGATAATGTTAGAGTCTGTCAACAACAATGGTTAGTTTATTTTTATAACTGTTATAATAAAAGTCCTGTGAAAAACAGACATACTGATCCTCTTTAGTAAGGGAAGATTAAACTCCACCATGTTCTAAGTAATATCATATTTAATTTTTTTTTATACACAGAACTTTCTCAACAGACTTTGTCATAGTTTATTGTACAAAGATGAGAAATAAAATGAAAATTGTGTGCAAAGGAACTCAAATAATAGATAGATAAGAAGTTTTTATTAAATATAAATTTCTAAAAGAAAATTAGTTGACATTATTTAGTGACACTTCACAGATTTAATTGCTAAAAGGAGAGAGAATCACAAAAGTACTGTCAAATGTAGTTCCACTGAAAAGTGGTTGATTAAGATTGTATAGCTTACTGCCCAAAAATTAAAAAGTAAATATAAACCACAAATGTGTACTAAGTTAAAATTGGTACTAGCTTGGGCTTTTAGTGCATACATTGACTGAGGAGGTAAAGGTTTGGGCTGAGAAATTTTGATGTAAGGAAAATTTATTATGCAAAAAATTTTGTCTTCTTTAGAATATTTGAAAATTTTTCTTTTTTTTTTTTATAACTGTCTGGATCATTAAAATTAGGTTGTTTAAAATTATTTTTCCTAGACAATCACAAAGTGGAAAAAGCAGAAAAGATTTTGCATTATGTTAGCCTTTCAATACTCACTCTATTTATGTTGGAGGTAATGATATTTATGTTGGAGGTAATGATGATGATGATGACAATGATGATGATCATCATCATCATTGTCATCATGATATATGATGATGATGATGATGATGATGATGATGATGATGATGATGATGATGATGATGATGATGATGATGATGATGATGATGATGATGATGATGATGATGATGATGATGACGATGATGATGATGATGATGATGATGATGATTTTTCATTAAAGTAATACTAAACATTTTTTTGTATTTTATAGTTAGTAATTAAAATATTTGCTATGGGAATAGAGTTTTTCAAACAAAAGTTCGAAGTAAGTCTTTTTTAAAATTGTTACTTTTTAAAAATATTTTTAAGCATAATTTTTTTATGGATTGTTGTAAATTTAGATATTTGATGGGCTGGTCATCACTATCTCTTTCTTTTTAGATATTTTTCTCAGGTAATAAGTGCTATAAATATAGTTTCAATATTTTTCTATTTAAAATTCATTTTACATTTAAATAGACTATAATTATAGCTTTAACTTGTAGTTGCTCTTTTGTATTAACAAAGTTATTGTGTGTTAACAAAATGTATTGTATTAACAAAATTATTTTGTGTTTTTTTTATCAACAAAGTTATTATGTCCATTATGTTAACAATGTTAGTGGTTATTAATATATACAAAAACTTTATATTTTATTTAAATTGATTATATACTCTTATGAATAAAGTTTTAAGTAAAAGATATTTCATTTGTAATTTTGGGAAAATGTTTATCGTCTTCCAATTTAAGAAGTTTGTTACTTATAGCTAAACAAGTTATTTGCAAGAACTAAAGTATATAGCATATAAGTAGATTATATTTTTTATTATGTTAGTTTTATTTTATTTCAAACACACTCACTAAAAATATTTGGGTCTCCTTGCAATTGGATACAGTATATATACTAAAATATATTTTAAAAAAAACAACAACTTAACGAAGCCATAAAAACTGTGATTATAAAGACATTAATGATCAATGGTCAAACTTATAAGTGCTTTTAAACTGTTTAATTACATTTTTGTTTGTTTTAGTAAGATTTATGTTTTGAAAATATACTGTTGAGAGTGTTGTAACAGTTAAATTATGCAAAAAAGTATTCTTATTAAATGTAGTTGTTACCTTGGCCTTACGTCCTAATGGATTTAAAGTTTTTGAGTCTACTATTTTTTAGTCTGGAGTCCCTGGCGATCATTTTACATAATGACTAAAAATGCAAAAATAGATATGTTCATGTTCTCTAAATGTTCTAATTTTTTTCCCCCAAAGTAATATATAGGCTTCTCAACTTTTTTGAGCTTGTGGACACCAAAGAATAGGAATAAATAGTTATTTTGTAACTTACAAAATAACTATTTATTCCTATTCTTAAATTCTTTTTTGGGGAGCTTTTCATTACTGATATAAAGTTGTAATTTTTTTTGTCATTTTATATACAATAAAAAAATTTTTAAAAATGTTGTCATAGTTTTGCTGGTATTTATTGAATAAATGTTTTTTAACATCAAGGCCCTAAATTTTATTAATGTTCAAAGTTTACATTTTTTATTCAGTGTTTTATTTTCTTGTATATACAATAGAGTATACAAATATGCTATGCAATACAATGTTTTAGAAAAGAATTTAAAATAGAATCATTTTCTCTGCAGTTCTGGTGGGCTGAAATTTGGAGTTGAGTTCTTAATTATTCTTCGGCTTTGGAGAATCACAAGAGTGATAAGTGGTATTTATTTGTTTTTTTAATTTTTGTGACATTTGTTTTAAATATAATGTTGTTAACATAATCTGCACTGACTGATATCTTATCATCATTTTTTATTTTCTACAGTAGAGTTTCCAAGTGTGGAGATATTTTTTTAAAAAAAATGTTTGTTATTGCTAAGCTGGTATTATCGTTCAATTTTTTAACAAGCTGATTTTATATAGTTCAGAAGCTTCATGATAAGAATAGAGTTGTTAATAAGTGAGACATGTTGTAAAATGCCTATTCTTAGTGTTGTATTGCACTATGCACATTTTATAATATTTATTGTAGAAAAGCATTTTTATTTTAATGTGTCACTTTTACTTATTTTTCATTTATCAACCTATATCATTAATCATGAAAGTGATCTATACTAAAATTATTTAATTTATACAGGGTGTATTACATTGATTCATGTGTTTAAAAACATTAAACTCAAGTAAAAAAAATACTTGTTAATTTAAATGGGTAAAAAAAAAAAAGAAAACAAGTTTTATAATTTACATCTTACACTATAAGACGCTACAAACATTGTAATTTATAATAAATTTTTTGAATTTATAATAAATTATAAAAATTATTTTTATTTGAAAGGAATTATAATAAATTATTATATATTATAAACTATTATAAATTATAATAATTTATTATAAACTAATACTAAATAATATAATAATAACTAGTAATTAAACTTGTTATTTTAATTTGTAATAAATTAGGAAATTTTTTCAGTTTGCGTTTTTGATTTAATAACAATCTCATATCTCCTTGTGACTTACAGCTATTTTATATCTAGCCCAAATTTTAATTAAAAATGAATTCATTCTTGTGTTTGCTCAGCAAATCTAGCATTGATTTTCCTTACAAAAAAGGAACAATATGGGCCATCATGATGGGGACCTTTCATGTTATGGCCAATGTGTAATTATAGCTTCAAAACTCTATTGTATGAGTATATGAGTGTGTGACCATTCAAATATATGAGTATATGAGTGTGTGACCACGCTGAATGGTCAAACACGATTATATGAGTATTTCAATCTAGCAATGGATCTCACTTATAATGTTTATGTGTCAGAAAAATCTTTAACACGCATGTTGGTTTCTATCAACCTTTTCATCACTAACTTCAAATTTAATGGACTGAACACTGTAATAACTTGAGAAAAAGCAGAGTAGAAATCAGTTTTCTTTAGAGTAGAAATCAGTTTTCTTTAGAGTAGAAATCAGATTAAGTTTTCAGATGCCTAAAAGATAAAGATTTAATAAGTGGCTTGAATGCTTCAAAAGACAGTTGCTTGATATTAACTTTCTTGCTTTAGTTTTTATGACAACTAATTGTTATCATCATAGCATATCCACAGTTTTTTTAAGTTAAATCGTTTTCTAGTAAAGCTATTTAAAAAGTTTTTAAGGATTATAAACTCCCTTTCCTTTACACACAAACACCTCTAATTTTATCACATTTTATTTGTTTGACATCAGATTGTAAAAAAAAATGACTCAATTGGTTTAGAAAAAAAAATTTCTAATAGAATAGTAAAATATTTCTTTGATTTTGATTAGAGATACTTTTACAGTTCTCAGATTCATTCAGTGGGTCCTTTTGCAGTTAAATTCTCAGATTCTTTGAGTGGGTCCTCTAAGGAAGTTGCTCATGGAAGGTATCATATTAAGCTGATAAGAAATATAATACATGAAAAATAAGTTAATCAATTCACTTTTTTCTCTCTTTATAGAAAATATTATTATTAAATTAAGTTTTTAAAATCCTTTTTCATGAAGTAATTTTGAGTATCTTGGAATTAGTTTTTTTTAGACTAGCAAAAACTATAACAGTTTAGTTATATCAACACTCAAGAGTGTATCTGATAAGTCTGAACAAAAGTTCTATTCTCTACAGAAACACATGCAGAATTAAAATAAAAGTAAATTAAAAAAATTTAATCATACATTCTCAGAGCAGAGCCATAGGGTACACCACTTAAAATATTAAATTATGAAGAAAATTCTGGTGAAAAAAACTTTTTTTTTTTCATTTTTGTGTATTTGGGATGTCATGGGATGATTTGTTTAACAAAACCTTATAGAAAAATTATTAATAAATGTGGTTGCAATAATAGACATTTAGATTATAGTTGCTATAATCTATTATTTATTTGCACCAACAGTAAAAGTTGTTTAATAGCTGCAGTGGTAGTTCTATTGGTTAGCTTCATTAGTAATTCTATTAGTTAGCCCCATTAGAAATTCCTGATTAGTAATTTTAAATTTGCTTAACTTTAAGAATTTTAACTTAAGAGACAATTAGGAGAGTATTGCTTTTAATTATTTTGTATATTTCTTCAGTTAAAAGCATTAAGGTATAATATATAATATATGGTATATACTTATATAAGATATATGGTATATTATATGAGCTCTATAAATGACTTTTAAGTAAAATTTATTTCTGATATAAAATTAATTTTTTATAAAAATCATATACTATCTGGACATTTGTGGAAAAAAAATCTAGTTGAATTTAAAGCTACTTTTGATTCTGAAAGTTGTAGTAAGATTACTTTTTATAATACTCTTTCTGTTTGTTTTTTGAAACTTTTTGTAAAACGTTACAACAGGTTATCTTTCTGAATATCTAACCTCTTTATGATCTTTAAAAATTACTTTTCAATATGAACTTCAAGTTCATAAAATTTTTGTGCGATTTTTTTAATTGTAAATAAATATATATAAATAAATTTTATAAATGGATATCAATATTTTGAATATTGTCATTTTAATGTGTGAGGTGTTAAAAATGAATGTGTAAGATGTAAAAATTTTTATTCATTCAAAATTGATTTATTTTTAAATTCAATTATATATTTTTTATTTTTTTAACGTTAAGAAAAGTAAGCACCCGGTATTCTTGATTTTATTGGGTATCTGTATTTTGTATTATTAGGTCTATAAATAAAAATTAAGTAACCGTTGTTTGTTTTTTTAAATAATAACTACTTAAAATGAGCCTTTTTTTTTCTCACAAATAAGCAAATGGTATGATGAATTGTCACATTGCGTTTGGCTAATATTTGATTGGGTAATCTGGTTTGAAGTGTTATCATTGAATTCATGGATGGTTGAAAGAATTTAAATCAATTGTCTAAAGTTAAAAGCCTTAATAATGCAATAAAGGCTTTTTTCACACGATCTAAAAAAATATAGCAGAATATTATAATTATTTAAATAATAATTAGAAACTTTTTAACAATAATTATATATACATAAAATTTATAGAAATAGATTATATATATATATAAATGTATATATGTATATATATAAGTATATATATGAATGTGTGTGTGTGTGTGTGTGTGTGTGTGTGTATATATATATATATATATATATATATATATATATATATATATATATATATATATATATATATATATATATATATATATATATATATAATTTATTTATTTTGCAGTGTTATTTAAGTAGCATACCAAAGATTTTTTGCTCTTTATGATTTTTTATACTGGTACTGTTGTAAAATGAAACGACCTGGCTAAATCTACCCCACCCACCCATAAAACCCACACACAAACACATCTTTCCTCTTAAAATAAAAACTTAAAAGCTTTATAAAATAGTTTTTGTTACTAGGCAAAAAATCGTTGAGAGATTTCATATTTCAATTTTACCAATAAATATTTGATTTTTTTAAAATTTTGAAGTTTAAGAATCTGTCAAATCATTGTGTAAATTTTTTTAATTTAATTTTGCATTTATTCAAAGTGAAAAAGTCCTTTATTTAAATAAAAATCGTTGTTACCTCTTTTGTTCTATTATTAAGTTAAAACAAAAATTAAATTATAATTTTAATAAAACTATGCTATAATACTATATAAATATGTTTTAATATGTTATAACCACTATTATAAATAAAAATGTCAGATATAATAGTGATTTTATAAATTTTGTATTTTACAATTTATAAAAATATTTTTAAAAAATTGAACTTTATTCTTCATTTAACTTATTGTACCTTGTAAGTAAATTTATATCTATACCTTATATGAAAATTATTTATTATAATTTATTTATTAAGTGATATGATATTTAATGTATATATTTACATTTTAATTCTAATATATGCAGGGAAAAATAATTTATGTAAATATCCAATCGAATGTTAATAATTTATTTTATAGTTTTTTTTAATGTAAATAGATTAATTTTTAATATTTTTTAAACTGTATTTACAAAAATAATTCTGGTGATTGTATTACTTCAGTAGCTAGTTTTATAATATTAAAAGTGTAAATCATTTGTTCGATATTTGTAATTTTTTTTATGCTTAATTTATCGCAATAGTCATTTTTATTTTAAACGTTTACTGTGCTATCAATTTTTTAAACTATTATTTTTTAAATACCTAATTATGAGTCCTTTTTTAAAACTATGTAATAAATACTTGAATTTATTGGTAAAGATACTACTATTCTTTTTTTCGTTTTTTTTTTTTTTTTTTTTTTTTTTTAATTTCAGTATAAAACCTTAACTAATTTACAATTGATTCTAACGAGTTTATAACAATAACCAATAATACGTTATCTTCCATCTAACACTTGGTTGATGTTTTGTTTAATACAACACATGGTTTATATTTTATCCGAGAAAACATCTGCTTTACGTTTTATCGAGCACGTGGATTATGTTATAAAATAGCGTTGCAAAATAAAACCATAAATGTAATAAAATTTAAAATCCAAATTTTTATTTTCAGTGTTTGCCAGCGTACGTGTGTGTGTTTAAATAACAAAATATCAAGGATTCCTTATAGATGCTGAGGTTGGTTTATTTTAAGAAAACTTTTTATTTATAGGAATAATATCGTCGATTAAAAAAACCGCTGCTGAAAAAGAACGAAAGTTAGCTGCGGAAAAAGAAGCTATAGAAACGGAGAACAAGATGCTTTTGCAGCAAATAAACACACAAAAAGTAAACGAAAAAATAATTTTGTTTAAAATTTTTTTGAACTTTCCTTTTTTTTTTGCCCACTAATTAAAGTTATTTTATCCAGGATGAGATCAGATTTTTGAAAGAGCTTTTAAATAAAAGTGGCATTGACGAAAATATAATAAAGCCGAAAGACGAAGCATAAAGTATTGATGGCGTCATTTTTGAGCTAAAGCTTTTTTGTTTGTTTAAAAAGCACGTTAATAATGGCGTTAAAAGTTTTATATTTCAACATTAAAATTGATTAACATTAAAGAGGTTTATTAACTTTTCAAGATCGCTAAATGCTTGACAATTTTTTTATTATTATTAATGTAAAGTATATAAACACACGCACACAGACAATAATTGTGATCTCAAGGACAAAATGGTCTGGCATTACGCCTAATATTTATAATATCCGAAATAAGGAAATAAAATCGTTTCTAAAGAATATTGTATCTGAATAGGTTAAATATATAGTTATATTAAAATTAGAGAAAGAAAAAGGTCTAAATTTTCAGTGAATATTTTCTAAGAAGTGCCTAATTATAAGTTTGACAACTTTGAAAAAGAGATAACTTATAAAGAGCTCAGTATAAACTTTATCATCTTAAAAAAGATATAAAAAACATTTCTTTTTAGTTCACACTGATTATAAAAAACAATGTTTATGTTTTTTAATTTAATTTAAGTTTAATGTTATAAACTGTTTAAAACAGCAATAAAACAACATAATGAGTTTTTTCGCAAACATTTTGACAAAACAAACTCGCAGTATTGTTTTATTGTTGTTTTATACAATATATTTATTTTTACTATAACAATTTTATATGTTTGGAAAATAAACCTGTTTTATCGTCAGTTTAAACATAGTAAGGCTAAATTTTATATTCCGTTTTATTTTTTCTTAAATATACATTTTTTTAATTTTCATATAATTTTGTTATTTAATAGTTGTTATTTTTTGGAAATATTATTAGATATAATATATAGATGTAATATTTTATAGATATCTATAGCAAGGTGTAATATATTATAGATAAAGATATACTATATAGATGCATTGCATTTTATGGTTTACAACGTAGACTGGAGGTAAAGTAAAGTATTTTTTGCAAATTATTTCATAGCAAATGAATAAGTATGAATATTTAAATTTTATATATTTGAAGTTAAAATAATACTGGCTCACAAAAGGTTTTTACTATAAAATAAAGCTACAAAGGTTGTAGTTGATAAATTAATAAACTCTACCCTTTTTATTAACTCTATTTTTATTTCAGGGTAATGGATATATAGTAAATAATAAATTAAAAATTTTTTTTTAGTTTTTATTTATATGCATCATATATTAAATTAAAAATTAAACGTTGGAATTATAAATTGCTAAAGTTATACAACAGTAATAAGTTTCTTTAGGATTGAGCACATACGTAAGACCGGCATGATGGGGAGAAGGTGGGTAAGCCTCTTTATCGGGAAAATTAGACTAGACAGTAAATTTTAATAAACTAGGACTTTTCAAAAACTATTCAGAAATTTCAAAAAACGACGACTCGCACCGGCCCTGTATATACGTACACACACACATCATATTTACTTTTTCATAATTTTTATTTTCTTTCTAGCAATTTATTATATATAATGTATAGTATAGTATTTTGTTTTATGCTGTAACTAACGCGTTTTGAAAATTAGAACCATAAGTTAGTAGTAAATAAAATTGTAGCTTTTTCATGCCGCTTAGACTTCCCGGCGGGCACTGGTACGTTCATTGTACGTGCAAAAGACATCCGGACGGAACGTACAATTTTTGTTCCGATATGGTTCAGATTAGAAATACTGATGTCCTTCCAAAATTGAACGTACCAAGTACGTCCAAATTTGAACGTTTAATGTAAATGATATCAGAAAGTTACATTGCAAATTGAAGAGCTTAATGCTAAAAGTACGTAAGTCCCAAAAAAAATGTTTCGAGGAAATCTACTTTAATCACCGATTTTGAATACTTATTTTTTAGTGTTATAAATCTGATCAAAGTAGATTTTCTTATATCATTTATGACTTTTAGCCCTAAGCTCTTCAATTAGACTTTAAAATTAAAAGTACAAGCTAGTCTTAAACGGAGTACCATAATGTCGCGTACCATAATGGCATCAAGAAAAATATCGAAAAAATTAAAAAAGTGTTGTTTTTTTTAATTGATAAGTTTAAACATGAAAAACAAATTATTATAAAAACAAATATCAAACATTGTAATTTGATATGTTAAATAATCTTTTATGATGTGCTCGAACCCAAAAAAAAGCGTTTTTAAACAGTATACGTACTTGTCAAAAAGTGTAAATAAACTATTGAGAAAATGACTTGAAAAAGCTTCTAGATTCTTTTTAAAGAAGCTTTGAAGAATAACCTTCACAGATCAACTTTTTTTTTTTAATTTTCGCCAGAGATATACAACTGGCAATTAGGTTTGAAAGAAGATAGCATTAAAAAAAATTCTCGAAAAATTCGCCAATGTTTATATTCTGAACTTGTCAAACGAAAAAAGTCACGTGATTAAAATGTCTATTAACAATAGCTTTATTAAAGATTTTTCTAATTTTCATATCGTGGATATACATTAGTGTGTTTGTTCCTTAACTTACCCCTTAGAGACAAGTTGACCAGCTTGGTTAACTTGAATAATTCCAAAAAAAAAAAATTTCTAAATAAATTATTAGCAGATTTTTTTAATAGTGAAAAAAATGTAGATTCGATGCACCGTTTAAAAGGTTTTTAAAATAACTCAACTATACCGACCTACCTTGAGATTCTGAGCGAAATGACGATTGGGTGACTCTCAGACAAACTTTAGGTTAAATAAAAGACAGCTTATAATTGGGTTCGCATTGGAAATTCAAACTTTATTAGAAAAGGTGGTTTAAAACAAAACAAAAAATTGACTGAGAATCGAATCGAAGAATCGCTAAAATGAATTGAAATTTTTCGTCAACAAATTTATTTTTATAATTTTGACTTTACTTTAAATATTATGAATCGTAGTATATTTTTACATTACACTTTAGTATACAGATCACATGCATAATGTTTAGCTAAAATCATATTCAGTTATGAATAGTATTAAAAAAAAAAGGTTATTGGTTAGTCACAAAAAAAGAAGGATTTGAAATGAAATAAGAGACTTAAAAGAAAAATGATCAAATCCTACGGGCATTTGTTTTTAAAAGTTACGTTCTAAATGTCTGTTAAACGTTATTTTAACGCCTTTTAAACGTTCTTTACGTGAGAATGTTTAGAAGTTGTTTAAAAGACATTTAAAATACATTTAGAACGTAACTTTTAAAAACAAAGGAAGTTCATTAGATTCGAACAAACTTAATAGGTATAAAGTTATAAGTGTGAAAAACTTTCTTTTAGTTTACAGATCTAATTTCAGTATATCAATTTATACGACTATAATAAAAATTCGCTTTTATAATATAAAACCGGTGTAAAACAGGTTATCCGGTTTTACAATTAAAAAAAAAAAAACCGAAAACCGGTTTTTTTAAATTTTCTTTTTTTTTTTAAATTTGTTATTTAGGTGCCCCAAGAAGTTCTAAGGGTCTTTTTACAAAGCACCACAGAAGTGCGCTCCTCCTTCCTTACCGTGACGCGAATGTTTTTGCCAAGCCCTAGTACAAACATACATTTGATTGCAGCTATATCAACAACAAATGTCATCAGATAAAAACTTGCAGAAGATTATTTAATGCAGATTCTTGTAACGAGTGGATGTTGGCTAAGTTTCACAAGTGAGTTACATCTGTTTTAAATGTCTCGAACTAAATTCCACAACAGCTTTCGTCAATCGCTCACTATACGACACATCGGTGGTTACATTAATTTGATATCGTGACCAAAACTTTTAAAATTCTCTATGGTTTGACTCTCCGGCTTGTTCAGATACAAGTCTTAATCCATAATCTGATTTAAGTTCACAAAGACATTAGTCAATGTGTTTAAAAACTACATGCATTTTTAGAGTTTCAGATAAATCTTTTGCTTTCAAAAAACATGGTTGACGAATCCTTGTATTAAGGGTAATTCAAGAAGAGGGCATTTAGCTATAACTAACATATAATCTGGTTTGTTAAAAACTGAAAGATTCACTGCGCTCATAGTGTTTTCGGCATCTTTTTTTTTATTCTTTCTAATGGCTGAAATCTAGTAAAGTATTTATTAAACATATATTAAATGTTTATTGTTAGGCGGGTGATAGGACATTGATAACAGAAAATTATTTAAAACATAATGTTATTTAATTTTACCTGTGGTAGCATTTTTTCAGATCACCATATATTCGAAAACCTGTCTATCTATTGTTCAAAGATTTCAAAGAAATATCTAAATTTCAGTTTGCATCACATACATTTTCTTCCTCGGAGTGACCATAGTTTAACATAGCAATTTTGACAAAGATTTGTTGAAGTGGCTGCCTGCAGACCATTAATAACCAAATTTAATTTAAAATTAGCTAAATAAACAAGAGGATTCTATCTAACCTAATTAGATTAAACAGCAATTTCATGTTTTCATAAGAGTTTTTAACTTGAGGTACTATACAAAGCATTAATAATCTGCAAACTTTCCTTTTTTGCTAGTTGTACCCCCTTGAGAATACAAGGATCTTTTTTTGTTAGGAAAGCTCAATTCCTCCTACTTTTTAAACTCTTCAGTTTCATCCTTAATTGATTCATAAGTCATCATTAGCTCGGGCGATAACTTTCTGGTAAAATTGTTTATCTATATTACCTAAATAAAGTAGAACTTCCAAAAATTATATTACTTATTACAAATTAAATTTTAATGTAAATATAAAACATAATGATACCTTAATGCAGGCCTGTAAGTACAAAAATTATATGGGAGGGGGGGGGGGAGGGCAGTGCTGGATTAAGGGGCTTCGAAATAGTTTAGAGGACCTTTTTTTTATCAAAATTATTTATATAAAAACTTATTGGGGTGAGGGGTCAAATGCCCCTGCTGATCTCGTGGTTGCTACGGGCCTGTCTTAATGTATACTTTTTCACTTTTTCATTGATTTCTCTAGCTATTATCACAACATTCACAATATCTTGTGAATCTTCCAAACATTTGATTCTGTCCTCTATGATTTCTTTCTATGATTCACCCTCTACATCAAACATATCTTGTGTAACCTGATATAAACTTTCCAGAGGTTTAGATTTTTTTGATACCTGCTCTCAGTGATAGGCAGGAACAGTCTTTTTATCTATATTGGATCTAATAAAGTTAGTAAATTTTTTTAAATTTTTCATTATTTTCTGCTGATTTTGTTTGCTTGCAATAATGGGACAGTCTTTTTCCAATTTCTGATTTGCATTAGGAACAAATGATTACTGAACTTGCACCTTCATTACCTATAAATTTTGAATAGAAATATCACTCTCTTTGTTTATTATTATTATATATAAATAAATTATTTAAAAACTTA